GTTTAAAAATTAAGGATGTTAATTTTATTTAAATTGAATAAAAATTTAATTTTTTATTTTAATAAAGATAGATGAGTATTAAAATTTGAGAATAAAGACAAAAATTGATATGATTTTAAAATTTTTATCGGATATGTGTACGTAAATGTATACTATATCATTTGTCCTACATTTTATATATTTGTATATATAATAATTTAATTTTTATCTAAAAATATAAATTTTATTTTAGATTAATTATAACTAATATGTTTATATTTAAAAATATTATATAACTATACAAAATAAAAATAAAAAAACTAAAAAAATAATTTTTAATTTAAAAAAATTATTAACAAAGCATCAACAATACTCGTTAAATATCTATGATGATAAAAATGAATTTGAAATACTTATTATTTATGGTTACGAACTAAATATAATATAAAAATCAAAGATAAAAATGAAAGATAAAAATGTTTTACGGACCTTATACTTAACAATTGACGTCTCTTATATAAACTCAAAATTTTTTTAAAAATCTTTATTAATATTTTAAATTGACACAATGACATTAACTAAAAATAAAAATTCGGCCTAAGCCCAGATTCAAAAACTCCGATCAATACCGGACAATTTATTGTATCTACATCCTTAAGAACAAAGTAAATAAAATTAGGTTTAACCGAAACAATTTCATAACCCGTCTGAGTGGTGTAGTTGGTTATCACGCTAGTCTCACACACTAGAGGTCCCCGGTTCGAACCCGGGCTCAGACACATGGAATTTTCCTTTTTCAGCATTTCTCATTTTTAGACCAACCATCTCTCCAGAAAAAGGCACTCCACAAAAAGGCTTCCAAAAAAATAAAGCATCTAGAAGCATCCCTCACTCGTACCTCGATTTAATTTCCCTCAGCTTCAGTTCCTCGTGAAAATTTTCTTTTTGCCCCACTGATTTGTTAATTTCTAGGGTTCCGTAGAGTGAAAGAAAGAGGATCGTACGTAATCAAATCCAATGGATTGGGGAAACGTAACCGCCGAGGATCTGATCGACGCGCTTCGTGAAGTTGACTGGTCATCGCCCCCGCGACCTCTCTCCGAATTCTTCTCCCGGTTCACCATCCCCGATCGTACGCCAAATGGAACAGCCGCGTTAAATGCAATCTCTACTAGTAATTTTTCTTTAGTCTCTTTTCATTTAAAAAAAATCGAATCAGTTTGAATCTTGATCGGTGCTGTTTGGTTGCCAAGAAAAGGAAAGAAAAGAAAATGTCCAAAAACAAGAAAATTCTTGAATCTTGATCGTGAATGTTCTATTGCAAATACTAGATCAAACCCTTTATTTCTTTTAGCTTCTTACTTTAATTTTATGCTTTTTTTTTTTTTGCAGCTATCGAACCAATTATTTCTTGATGATTGTTCTCATTCTTGGTAAGTAGAGAAAACCGTTAGTGCAGCTCGAATTTATTTTGACTACATGTATTTTTATATATAATTTTTGTGATTTTGCAGGTTTGGGATTCTTGAGGAGACCAGTTGCTATTTTAGCTGCTATTTTAACAGCGCTTAGCATCGCTTTTCTGAATGATAGGTAAGCTGCTATGTTACACCTCTTCTTTGTTTAGTGTTTTGAATTTTAAGTCACTCAGGTTGTTACCTTTGAAATGGATGGATGGATGAGCCCTAGTATTGAAGGTTACCATATGGGTTAGATTTAGTTTTCTGATTCATGTCGGTACCATTGTCTTTTGGTGCAGCTTTGCTGGTACTTTTAGTGAGAAGGTGACAAGAACTGTGAGGCAATTCTCTCCACATTTAGCAGCTAAGATGAGGCCTCCCCTCACGTAAGTTTTATTTACTTATGTTTGTGTCTGCAGAGTATGTATTCTTGATTTGGTTCATTGTTGCCAGACCTGTTATTCGTGGACGTCCGTCAGCTAAAAGAGCGATTCACATATGTGGTTGGCCTCGTTGGGTGTTTGTCTTCGTATTCTCTTCTGGTAACAATATGTTTGAGAACTGTTTTCTTTCCAAGTAAAGCAAGATCGATCAGTTTTCCATCCAATATAGTTGTGTAGAAAGCAACTAATTTTACCCCTCTTGTTGCAGTGAGTTTCATCCTTTGGTATGTATCCTGTGGTCTCTTGACTGTGCTATGGGCACTTGCCATTGCACTTCTTGGTATGTCACCTCATTTATTTTTTCTCATTTCTCTGCGTAAGAATGTTACTTTTTCATCTAACTCTTTCTTTCTCTGTCAGCCACTGTCCTCCATGCAAGTTTTAGAACACCTAACCTAAAGGCTCGTCTTAACACTTTTCGTGAGGAATTTCGTGCAGTTTGGCGCAATTACAGTGAGCTGTAGCTCACATAGTCTATAGCATGTGAGTAAATCTGCATTCAATTTTTATTGGATTTTGGTTTCTTTTTTCATTTGTAGTAAGGTGTTCCTTTGAATAAGAATTTAGTGCTGTTATTCTTGTTTTGCTTCTCTAGTTTTCAGCTGTTAAGCTGTTGAGTAAATTCACCTTCTTAATTTTATTGATTTTGGAATATTGCACATATTCACATGCTACTCTTATATATTCCATGCTTGTGGACTTTCTACTTCACCATTATGATATGCACGGTTGCGTATTTGTATCTCCCCTAAATTCTGTCATTTGTTTGTGTTCGTTGTCCACGCATGCATGGTGTTGTGTAACCTTCTCTATATAGTGTTACTGATTGCTCAGTATCTATAAGCATCATTTAGTGCTTTATTTTCATCCGAGCATGGTAACTTTGCAATTGAATGGCACTATAGTTCTCTTATAACTTCTACTTTCAACCTTTATTGTCATCAATGTAAAATCCTTTAATATTTGAATTGTAGCGTGCGTCTGATATGTGTGGTTTTGGCTTAAACATAAGGGAGAGTACGTGGTGTTCCATTTCATGATATTGATTGTTACTGCTGTCTTTGGTTTCAGGCAGGGATGGTTCTGACGATTTGAAACTTGTACAGCTTGTTATTGTAAGGTTGCATCCATCTGCTGTTGATGTTTCTACAAAATAATTTCTTTGGCTGGATTGAGGTGAAGGCTGCTAATTTTTGGATATAACGAACAAGGTGTAAACTGTCAAGTCCTCTTTATTTCTGTAAAGCAGACCATTTCTGTTTTAGTCCATATAGTAGACACATTGGAGGATGTTTTTATTGATGATACCCCTTCTTTAAGGAAAGAACAAAAAAAGGTGCAGAATTGATATAAGCAGTTACCTCATGTATGCCTATAGTTGTTGGGCAAGTTGGCTGCAAATGTTTATTTTAGTTGCACTCGATTCTTGGTTCCTTCTAGTAGTTTCCTAGTGCGAGTTTAATGCTAAGATAGTGTAAACGTCTTGCCTTTAGAAAGAATGTTTTTTGTGACTGATTTTACGCCCATGCATTAATTTCTGCTCTTGTTTGTTTGTTCCTTTTCTCCATGGTTTGGAATGGATTGTAAGTCCATGCTATTGAAGTAGTTTTTGTCATTTTTGGTGAAGTGAAATGGAAGTATATGTAAACCTAGATAAATAACAAGCCTAGGTAACAGGAAAACAGGTAGTTGCCATCCGATTGTAATTCATTCAGATCACTTCCGTGGTTGAGGTTGGGGACTCTTTAATCGTGTCTGAGCTTAAACTCCTGGTAAGGTGAACCTGTAAAAAGACAATGACGAATTTGTGGCCTTCTTCCATTCAGTACTTGGCTTTCGAGGCGTTACCATTGCTTTCTTTTTCTATTGGTAATTTCCAAATTTCCTGCTTCCTTTTTTATAGAAAGAAGTTCAAAGTCAAAGAAAGTTATTTCATTTTTAAAATCAAATTAAACGGTTAACTTATAAAGTAATTTACGAATTATATATATATATGTATATGTATTTAAATTCTTTAAATTTACAGATCGCTTATCAACATAAAACCCTGAAGTTCACACGCTTTATATTCAAACCATTAATATAAGCAATTACATCCACCTGTCCAATATCCTGACACCTGCTGACGATAGAATCCAGTAACATTATGCCACTTGTCTTCAATTCATTGCCTGAATTTATTTTTCAGAATCTTTTTTCCCTGTTTTATGATTATGCAATTTGTGGTAATTATGATGACTCGTTACATTTCGCCATTTGTCAACGATGTTATAAATCATCAGTTCCGTGGGGAGTAAAGAACTTTTGCCGATGAATATTTCTATAGGTATTCACAATATTTAAACAATAAACTAAGCCTTCTTGCTTAGATTTGTTTGATCTTGTAAAGAAGGGTTGGATACCTGGATTTGTAAAGCAAGCCGTGCCCTGAACTCTCTTTTACCTAAACATGAAAGTTCATTTATTTTTGTTATTATGTATAATTTTTATTAAATACATATAAAACATAAAAATTAACGTATTAAAATTTTGTTGACATATCAAATGCAAATTTTTTTTTTTTTTTTTAATTTGGGATCTGCTGAAGAAGAATGATATTATGACACTCGTTGTTGTTCAGCATCCACCCAAATGGCCCGATTCAAACTTAAAATTCGACTTCTTTTGCATACTGACACTACTAAACAAATATTAGCAATTATGTAACTTCAAAGGCAATAATGAACCCGAAGACTCTGAAGACTTGAGTAATTGTGCCTGCTCAATCGTATTTTATAAGTTAATGAAATTGCGATACTGTCAAACGCCGCATTATGCTGGCAGAACCAGTCAAGCTCCGCCCACCACCACCCCTCCCCTATAACCAATTCAGCTATTTTGCTTAAAAACATATTTGTTTGACCCGTAAACGTAATGCTCTAAATTATACTGATTTTTTATTTTTAAATTTTTCATTAATATAGTCAAACGCGTTTTATGAGTTTATTTGTTTAAGAAGTGTAAGATAATAAGAGATTAATACCTACGTCCCTTCAACTATAAAACGAGTTGATGAATAGAGAACTTCATCGTCATCAAGACCGTCAAACCTTTTCTGTACATTAGAAACAAAGAGGGAATGGAACCTTGGGCAATTCCGCTTATTATTTTCTCTGTATTTTTCTGTATGACTCTTTTTTTTGCTTGCCTTAGTCGATGTGGTAACCTAGGGGGTGGAGGTCATGACTTTAGTGGAGCTGATGTGCCTGATGGCTTTGGCGGAGGAGGTGATGTAAGCATAGATATTGGTAGCCCTGATAACGTTGGTGGTGATACAGGGTTTAGCAGTTGGGGAGGTGAAGGAGGTTTTGATGGTGGAGGTGCTGGTGGTTTTGGCAGCGGTAGTGGCGGTGGAGGTTGTGATAGTGGTGGTGGTGCTGCTGGAGGCAGCGGTGGAGGTGGAGGTGGTTGTTAGTGAGACTAATCATGTATGTTACATCAAAGCCAAATTACTTACGAGCAAGAAGCCAAGCTTCGTTCGTCGACTACACAGGGAAGACGTACTCAAATCAGCTATTGGTAAATTTCATTATTACATGTAAATTTAACAGTTTCATCATTCGTTATTGTAAACAAATAAACAATGCCTATAGGAAAATCCGAAAAAGAGAAAGATTGTTTTCATTATCGACCGCTCGGACATACCAAGTATCTAACAAATTATATAATATTTCAATGCCTAAGCCAATAATCATTTAGTCAGCAGAACAGAATTTCTTTCACACAGAATAAGCTAAAAACTCACCAGAACTTTTAAACTTGGTGATGATGGGCTCAACAAATCAAAATTGCACATACGTTGTTTCTTCTTATTTTTATTTTCAGTCATGTACCATAGCTTCGATCTCCTGCATCTCCAAGTCCAGGAATTATAAACCTGAAATCGCTCAAGTAACAGTTATCGAATATACAACCCGCCGACAACATCCATAAGTCCTGTGAAAAGACAGAGCTTACCCTTTGTCATTGACAGTGGGATCGATGATTCCAGTATATACATAATGCCTGAAAATCACAAAAACCAGTAAAAAATTTAAGCTGCTATACAAAAGCCCAAATTTTGTGTACATAGATTTTATATTCAAACTTCATTTATCCAGGGAATTTCTCACTGAGCTTTTGAAGGGCTGAAGGAGCTGCCAGAGCAGATATCTGTAATAGAGTGGTTCCATTCATTAGTAAAATACATATAGAAAATGACTGTTTCTGTCTAAGTGAGTTGAAGATAGGAAAATATAAACAATTAATCATATTTGATCTGGGTTTTCCCGTCTGCATATGCTTGCTATGTGGGAAATTTAGTAGCTGAGGCTCAACTATTGACATGGGGTGCTTAAAAACTTCCAAGAAAGGTCATGCTCCTCTAATTTATTTATGTTGACACAAGAACATGCAAACAATAGAAGAAACTATTAAACCCGATTGATCCTGATGCAATAAGAATTTGATATCATAAAAGAATGCTTTAGTAACGATGTGAGAATGCAGTACTTAACTACATATCTGATAAAATGAAATCTTTGACAAAGCGCAAGCATTCCAAAGAGCTTCCAAAATATACATTCAACTGAAACAGAAAAGAATCTTCCAAATTATTTACCACTTTCATTTGTTTGTTGTCAATTCCACATTCCTTTAAAAGGCCAAGTGCTGCCACAATTGTGCACCTGAAATTTTTAACAATAAAATTAGCAAAAGGTCAATAACAGAATAAACCTCAGTCTCGGGAAAAATAATCACTTAAAATACGATGCACACAAATGTAACAATATCTTCTGCACTTATTATCTTCACTTTGAATGAAAAATCAATGATTTTCTTCACTTTGAATGCTGAAATGAGAGGGAAAATGCTAGAAATATTTAAGTTATATCGGATGCATATGACATAAGATTTCCAGCTGTTAGATGAAGATTAGTACCTGTTGCCAACATAGGATCTACCACAAAAACGCGAGATCCTACAGGAAATTTGTCAGGCAACCTACAGAGGACTTTACCATAAGTTACACAGACAACCTAACATAAAATAATAAACAGCCTTAATGATAACCCCTTCATTCACAAAACCATAAATAATCATAAACTGTTTGCAAAAAGTGAAGTATGTTCTTACTTATTCAGATAAACTGTTGGCAAAAGTGTCTCTTCATCTCTGCTTACCCCTTCAGTCACAAAACCATAAATAATCATAAACAACTAAACTAGTTGGCCACATAAAGAACACGAGGGATGAAAGCTACAGTCTTGAAGAACAAATAGGATCAAAAGCCAAAATAAAGAACCCTTTGAACACATGAACCACAGTATTTTTGTGGGTTGGGTGGTGAAGTGGAAAAATTGTAAAGATTATGCATCAACTTTACCTAAATGGTATATTTTTTGTAGCCGGCAAAATGGATGATGCCTGTTCAGCCAGAGCAAGACCAGCTCTCAAAATAGGAACAATCTAAGAAACTAAAAGAATATAAGTATTAGTTACTGGCTTAACATATGTAAGTGTTAAACCGTGATGTTGTTGGTGTTGGGTTTAAAGGAGGAAGGAGAGAAGGGTTTTTGAAGGAGAGAGATGTGGCCAAGAAACACGGCGTATCGGAGGAACAACACCGGAGACTAAAGTTACTGCGGCACGCCATGCATCCGATAATGATTTCGATTTCCCGCTTGTTTAGTTTCGTTGGAACTGCTTTTTGGTTTTGTCATTTGCGATAGACTTTTTTGGGTTCCAAAAGGAGATTTGTTTGTTTCTCTCTTTTGGATCAGGTTTTTGGGTCCAGTTTCGATCATTGTGGGCCTTCTATCGCTTCTCTAAATTTATAGCAGACGTTGGGTTTTAAAATTCAAGGAGATGTGGATTTCGTTTTGGGTTTCTATGTTGAGTTAGCCAGCTGGCTGATGGCCTCCTTTTGCATTGCATCCAATTATCATTTTATATCTGGGTTGGAGTTGTTAAAATTTAATTTAAAAGTAATTAATAATAAGGAAAGAAATTTACTTTAAATATAAAATAATAAAAAATAATATTTAATAGTATAACATAATATTATTTTAATAAATTTTTATCATTTGTAAGTGACGATAAAAAAAAAATCTATCACGTGATAAATTAAAAAAAAAAGAATGAAATAAAACATAAATTTTGAAATAATATTAAATATTTAACTTAAAATTAATTAATAACAAATAAAAATATCCAACTTAAATATAATACTACAAGTGACCAAAGACTTAATATGCGATAATACCATTTAAAAAAATTCCATCACTCATAGGCAGGGATAAAAGGTTATACCATATGAGAAATTTGAAAAAAAATAACAAGTAAAAAATAAAATAGAACCTGAAATTTGATACTTTGAAAATAAAATGATAAAAAAGAAGAAGCCATTAAAATAAAATTTTATATCATTTTCTTTTGACGAGTTAAGTCGGTAATAAATTTTTTGTGAATGATTTGGAAATTTAATATATATATATATATATAATTTTTTTTATAGAATGTCTTGATCTAAAAGGAGAAGCACCTTCACCCAAAACTTTTATTAAAAAATAAGGCTTGGCAAATACATTTTTTAATTTTTTTAAATAACTAAAAGTTGTATTTAAATTCAAAAAGAGCAAATATTAATTTTGTATCGCTCCAATCTCACATCAAAATAATTTAAAGTTTTGTTATAATATATATGTAAAAATTTAAATTTAAACTTATAAAACATTTTTTATGAGATAAAATTATAAAATCTTCGGTTAAAGTGAACAATATCTCATAAATTGAATGCAAACTTTTATAAATAGTATCAGAGCTCTAAGTACTATTACGTAATGAGAATCACCTTTATAATTTTAATATCTAATGTGATTTTATGCTTTCGATGTGAGTCTATGCTTTGTATTGAACTTGTCTAATATTTGATGTGATGTGATGGATTTACGTATTTTGTGTTGAATTTGACAAAGACATCAAGCTTTAAAAAAGAAACTTAAACTCAATTTTGTGAGATGCAAATCATGAGATTTTTAAATTAAAATAAATTATATCTTACAAGTTGAGTGTGAATTTTTATAAATCTACTAATTAAAATACATTAAGAGTATAACTTATATATATTTAGCTACGGTGATTTATACTTCACCATTAACAAAGATTTCTATTAACATCAGTATTGTAGACATTAAAAACAACACCAAATCGAATTCTCACAACGACAGCAACAATTAATTGGAATAATTCCTCTGGAGATTCCCATCTTGTTGTGTGCTTCATAGAGTTCCTTTCCACCATAGATAGTAAATGGTATCAGTCCAAACAGAACACAATAAGATAGCCTTAAAAAACTTACCCCTGAAAGTAATGATTGCCCAATGAAAATCGTCACCCCATCTTCTAAAAGTTCTCTTAAAATAAGATAATTGGAGTAATGTTTTATTTTAAGATTTTAATAAATAAATCTTTCTTGCTTATTATTTTGTTGCCATCGTTGGAACACACAATATGTTCCAAATCGGCATCAATGTCAAACAGTAACAATTTGTTGTTTTAAATGAATTGATTCTCTCTCAAATTTATCAAACGTTAAACAATTTTAAAATTAGCAAGACTACTTCGTTATGGACGTCTGTCATCATCAATTAACAAAATCCAAAGTCGCATTTGGACAACATTTCTTAATTAAATCTTAAATGTCAACTTCTATGCTCAATAAACCTTTAACCAATTTAATCTCAACATGTAATTTTCAATTCAGTTTTCAATCTATATCAACAAGCAAGTAGCAAGCCCTTGCAGAGAGAGAGAGAAAGATGGCTCCATTATCAAAGAAAACTATACAACATTTCACCCATTGCCATACGTTAACAGAAACTTCCGCAAACATAGAGTTCCTCTGCAATGGCTGCTGGACTCCAGGTTTTGGCACAAGGTATCGATGTGAACCCTGTGATTTTGATCTCCATGATCACTGTGCCACCTGCTCTATGGAACTCTCTTCTTTTATGCACCAACATGATCTCAAACTAGTAGTTCGCAAGCCACAGGCTACGCGCCAGAACGACCGTGTCTGTGACTTGTGTGGCGACCCTGTCGAAGGGCTTTTCTATAGGTGCAAGCTTTGCGATTTCGATGTGCACCCTCTTTGTACCCAATTGCCTGAATATGTACGGCACGTGATGCATAAGGATCATCCTTTGAGGCTCCAACGTTCGGTGCCTGGTAGGTGCAAGGTCTGCAAAGACACGTGCACGTCTTGGCATTATAGATGTGGGATTTGCTGCTTTGATCTTCACCTTGAGTGTGTTTTAGCACCTTGTGCGGAGGCGACGAAGACTACGACAACGTCAACGCCTCGATCTTTGAAAACACCAGCTCCACCACCATCAGCTCCGCCATTTTATGATGCTTGTTATGCTTATGGCTATGGGGCCATTCCGCCGCCACCTTATTTTTCGTATGCTTGCGGGGTCCCTCCTGCACCGCCTTATTTTGGTCCTTATGCTCATGGCTATGGAATCCCCTCTAGCTCTGGCCAACATAACGTTAATAGTCAGCATAGTAATAGTAGTCAAGTTCAGGGACGTAGTGGAAAAGTTCGAAAGAAAATGTACGCAATTGCTGGGAATCTGGCTCTTGGAGTGCTTAGTAACGTTGTTTTTGGAGCCTTGTTCTCGTGATCGAACTCGTAAAAACATTGAAGTTTCAATTGCTTTCTTTGCATCAAATTTACTATTTGTTTGAAAGCCAAAACATTGTAATTTCAGCCTATTGACAGAATGTTAAATTTTAGTTCCAGTGATCAGAAATCAATCTTGACAATCTCAAGTATAAAAATAAAATATCATAGTTTCAGTCAATTAATATTGTATAATTCCTAGAGTATATAATTCCAACATAGTCCATCTGTTGTGATTATTTCTCTGTTTTCTCTTGCTCATTATAAAGTTAGAATTTGAGGGAAGGAAATATTAGAAGCATAACATGACTTCGGACTTCAATCTTCTATAGCTATTTTTCATCCAAATTTTGAAGCTAGTCAGGTCAGACTTTAGCTGCCTTTCTAATGTTTCCAGAAAATTTTTTGTCTGGATCAAGCATGGCGCATAAGCATAACCTTGCATAATTATCTTATTTAATGAATAAGAATTTTATGATACAGCTTCTAGGAGTGTTGGGTAGCTGAGAAGTGAAAGATTCGTATGGCAGATTGAGATCTTGATCATTGGATGTCAAATGATTGATTTACCCATTAACAGAATATATCATTTCTTGTAACCAGCCTGAAAAGGGGTTGTAGTCTTGTAGATAACATCAGATGCTGGATATCTTACGCGGACTTGTTGAAGTAGTTCAACAATGGTTCAACACATTGTTGTGCGTAAAACAAATTTAGTTCAGTCAGTATAGAATTTAGACAAGTACTCAAAGGCCAAGAATTGATTGTTCCTGAATTAACACAAAACTTTGCCTAGTAGTCAGACATGAAAAGCTACAGTTTCAGAATGCAACTGCTATCTATAACTAACTATTGCTGTGAAACAGGATTGTCCTGATTCTTTTAAGGAATCAATACTGGAAACTTGCCTCTGCCTCGATTTTGTGTAGAGAAAGTAGGAAACATAATAGCATCGACATCATCTCATATTTCACCATCCCATAGTTCTTCAAGGCTCTCGTAAGGACTACGAGTTTCATGTACTGCAAATTCTGCTCGGAGGAGCCTTTGCTGCAGAAGAAATTGGAAAGATTTATTAGTGGCAGGAAGTATAAATTCTTTATTATGCAAGCATGTGTCATGTGTGTCCATGTGATGAGCGATTTTTTCCCGCGAAATACAAACATGAGACAAGGCATCTTGACCTGATGGATGCCTGAGAATTTTGAGAACAGCTCGGGAGGTATGGACCAATCAAACAAGCTAAAATTTTCCTTGATCCTAGACTCATTCACACTTTTTGGAAGGACACTGTGACCACTCTGAATACCCCAGCGCAGAGCGACTTGTGCTGGAGACTTGTTAAGTTTTTCAGCAATTTCAACCAAAATTGTCTCCTTTAAGATTTCTCATTTAATCCAAGACCCTGGAGATCCTAGAGGGGAATATGCCTGGACGGATATTCAAATTCATATGATTAGAAAAATCAAGTATTTGAGTGCATATAAAGATTAAAACTAAATCAATTAGGCTTTATACCAATAGAAGAACTCCAGTGGACTTGCACAAGTTGTGTAGCCCAGGCTGCTGCCAAACAGGGTGGCATTCTACCTGATTGACAGCAGCCGGCACTTTCGTGTAATTGAGCAGGTCCTGCAGCTTCTTAGTCGAGAAGTTGCTGACACCAATGGCCCGTGCTTGACCAGACCCATACAAGCCCTCCATTGCACTCCATGTCTCCGGAAGACACAGAGGAGCCGTGATTTCAGGATCCCACCCTCTCATGCCAGACTTTGTACGAAATGGCCAATGTATCTGTAATGCAAAGGTCAAATTTAGGTGCTTTCCAAGCATCATCATTTCAGTTCAAACATATAATGAAAATGGGGAATGAACTAAGATAGCAGATTTTCATTGATGGTTTGAGGCAAGATCAATTCTGCTTTTAGTGGTAATTTTAGATCTTCCTATTACAATTAAGAGCACAGGGACATACAAGATACAGATCAATATAGTCAAGTTGGAGGTCTTCCAGAGTTTTGGTCAATGCCTTGGAGACGTCTTCACGTGCATGGTCGCTGCACCTGTCCAGGTTTCAAGAAAGGAAAAAAAAATGGAACTAAATTCAAAATAGGCAGCCAGATTCTTTAACCTGAAAACAACATTTGGGTTTCAAAGCTTAAAGTCTTTCTCACAATCATATAAACTATACCATAGTTTTGATGTAATGAACATTTCACTGCGCTTCACAACCCCTGTGGAAAACACTCCCTTCAATGCAAGCCCAACCTACATTGCATCAAGCATATAGCAAAATAAACAATTAGCCATATCAGGTGCCATTTGTAAACAAATTGGAAAATTAAAAAAAAAAAAAAAAGAAACGGGAAAATGTTACCTCTTTTTCGTTATCATAAACATGGCACAGTCGATGTGCCTATAGCCAGCCCGCATAAAAATGATACAAGAGTAATCAACGCTTCAGAGATTGTTTTCGATTTTAACAGTTGAAATTCATCTGAAATTTTATTAATTATATTGGAAAGTAGAAGCAACTCCCTGGACAGAATAAAATTGATGAAAACTGGGATCATTAACGGGTAATGGACCGAGATCAAAAGCAATAAATTAAAGATCAAACCTTGACTGCGGCAATGACAGCTTCACCCACAACACCTGGAGGAGCCATTCCACGTTCCCAAACCAACAGATGGCATCTTAGCTCCGGTGTTATGCTCAAAATAAAAAGGTCCATGTCCATTTTACTCTATAGGAATAATCAAAACAAATAGCAAACACCAACAGTAATATTAACTTTGTACTATTATATGGCAACACAATTTAAATACAATTTAAAGAGAAACGATTTCAATGATACATACCTTGTTTGATCCCAATGATAAGCAGCAGCTCTTTGGAATAGATTTCTGGAAGAAAGAAGAAAAGATATAAACCAAATCAGAGGATAACCGGATCACGATTCTTCAACTTCAGACCCGGCAACTAATGGTCAAGTTTAGACACAGGTTGTCAAACATTAATGGAATTGCACATGTAACAGTTTTGTACACATCTATATGGACAGTACCATATTCATTTGGATTAGAAATTTAGAATCCTTGCAGTAATAAAGTTTTATCTTCATACGAAACTAAAAAAAAAAAAAAAAACCAACAAAGAAAAGAGCTTATTTGACTCGTCTTTCATATTGAAATTGCATTTTACTACAAACTAGAAAGAGAAATTAATGAAAATAGCACACCAAACAATAAAATATAGCTTAGGGCCTAGATTTTATAAATTTTCTAAATATATGTTATAGAGCACCTTTTAAATGGACAATGTAGAAGATATGTGAAAAGTAATTGGCAGTAGATTTTGGTATTTAATTGAAATGTGAAGGGGAAATGAAGGTTTCCTATTATGATGTGTTAAAGTTAGGAAGTGATAGCTCTAGGGATGTTTTTCCTTTCACAGTTTGGTTCAAATTTGTACATGATTTGTTCTTTAATTTTATGTTTAAAAATTGAAATTTTGAAGAAAACATTTAAGATCTGAGTTTCAATGGCTTTTATTTTTTTTTTGGCTTTGTTAGGTATGCAAGACAACATCCTTGGAGATTGATATTTGAAATACATTTTTTCATTTTTCAATGACAATAAGCACATACATTATAGATAAAGAATATAGAATTAGAGGTTGAATTAAGTAGCTGCCTTGGTTCTTAAAACCCTTTTGACAATTTATGCTTATTTTCCTTGCCACCCTCATTGATGATGATTCGAGGCCTTAGTTAATATGGAAGCTAGGCCCACTGACTCCCTACAGAGCAGGTACACTCCAGACTAGGCCATTAGGCCTATAATTGAAGATGTCCTTTGTCTACAAAGTAAAGTCCAACTAGTAACCTCCAAGATAGATAGAAGCGTTCGAACTTCAAATTAAATATTGGCCAAATTCATACTAGATTATATGAGGGAAGAAAATTACTGTTTTTAAAGTTGGGACAAGGTCTTTAATCAAACTGTCTGAAAAAAGAAAAAAAAAAGACACCCACGTAGTATGCTGTCAGTCACTTTCATGTCAACCACTAAACTAAAAAAACACAATCCTTCTGTTGCTCTTTATCGAGTCAAAACTATCAATATCACCAAGTATATAAATCATGATCTGTTAAGCTAATCAAAAGTTTCTGGGTATCGCTTAAATCCTACGCTTTTAATTTTAGCTGGGTGGTCCAAACTCCAAAATCCCTACATCCTACTTTTATCTTTTTTGTTTTCTTAATATATGGAACCAAAAAGATGCTGATTTGGACTCTGGATTTGGGTTGCCATTAATGGAAGCGCTTTAAGATTCTAGGGTTGCTTTTCTTGTATTCTGAAAGGAGGGCCCTTTGATTTTAGGGGATAGGGGGGCCCTTTCGCTTGAAGGAAGACGATGAAGGAGTTGATAGGGAGTCCAGGAACGGTGAGTGGGTTAACCCTAAGGATAACCCAATGTGCATTTGCTGCTGCTTCCATTGCAGTCATGGTTTCTGCCTCTGGTTTCTCAACCTACACCGCTTTCTGGTATTTTTTTTTGTTTTCCATTTTCTTCTTTTGGTTCTGCTTTCAAATTTACAGTTTTAGATTTATTGTGAATTTTTTCTTTTATTTGTTCTTAGGTTTAATCATTAAAAAAATTTTAGTTAAAATGATGTTTTTGAATCAGATTTGTCTTAAGCCAAGGTTGATTGATCAGGTCGGGAGAAGAGTTTGATAAGCAAAAGTACGGATGAAAGATAGTTTCCTAACTGGTAGAAAGAATAGGAACAGTGAAAGGTGAAGTTGACCTGATTTTCAGACATGTGGATGTTACTTCTTTGCATATGTTTAATAGTAATAATAGCTAAATGTGACACCCCAATCCTACATTGGAATGTTGAAGATTTGCTATGATATATAAGTTGAGATTTAGACCTAAACTTGTGAAAAGCGTGGTACAAAATCATAAAATCTTTGGGTTAAAACGGATAACACATCACAGGTTGGGTACAAGTCTCCACACTAAAAAATGAATCAGCTGTTTTTACTACTCTAGTGTTCTGGTTTGAATTTGTTGAATAAGGTTTAAGTTATAGATTTCTAGTTTGCAAATGTGCATGAGGAGTGGGTAAAAAGACTGCCCTTTCAGTTTTAAGTTTAGCTCAATTTTCTATTTTGGGCCCAAGTTTTTATGATTTCATTTGTCAAAGTGGCTGTGGATGTTATGGTTGCTATTCTAATCTTTCATCATACTATATCCCTAGGAAAGGGAAACGGAGGTTAGGTCGGATCGGTAGGCAAAGAGTGTTAAAGTAGAATATAAATGCACTGTAATAATTGTTATTGTCTGCAGTTTTGATGTTTATTATGTACTCTGTTTCAGCTATTTGATTGCATCTATGGGGCTACAAATGTTATGGAGCTTTGGACTTGCATGTCTTGATGTATATGCTTTGAGGAGGAAGAGAGATCTTCATAATCCAGTTTTAGTGAGCCTATTTGTTGTAGGTGATTGGGTATGCAGCCTCTCTAATATCCTTTAGTCACCAAATGGATGCATGCACAATGATGTAAATCATGTTTTTATTCTATCAAATACAATCTTTCCATATGTTATATTGCTAGTTTTTATGATAACCTGTTCGCATTTCTGAATGACAATAGAGTACAAATCTTACATCGATGCAAGATCACTGTGTTCATAATCTGTATCTTAACTCTGTGTGCATTTTGCTTTAATTTTTTTAATGGTTGTTGGGATATTCAGAATTCATTCTTCTTAGTTTTCAATCAGTTTTTCCTACATGCAGCTTAAGTTTTGCAAAATCCTTTTTCTTCTTGATACACTTCAGCCAAAATTGTGCATCACCTGGCTAATCAAAATTGTGCATCACCTGGCTAATCCTTCTTGAATTTGCAGGTTACAGCTATGTTATCCCTGGCAGCTGCATGTTCATCAGCTGGGGTTATAGTCCTGTATGCAAGAGACTTGGACTTCTGCAGAGTTCAAAGTAATCTCTCTTGCAGGCAATTCGAAATATCGATAATTTTGGCATTCATAACGTGGGTTCTGATTGCAATGTCATCTCATGTCATGTTCTGGATCTTAGCTGCTTTCTGAAGGACTTGGGGGTTCCCATCCTTATCAGTGACATGTAAATGCTTCTTTTTTCTTTTTCTTCCCCATGCCTTAAGTTTTGACAATTTTGGAGAATTGGAGAAGTTTTGCATTTGCACATCAAAGATTTTTGTTTTTTATTCAGTTTCATTGAAATCTTTCTTGTTCTCAACCTAATTTTCAACCATTAACAAACAATCTTGTCAAATTCTTGTGGATCGCTTGTCGGTGTGGGTAGCATCTTTGGGATCTTAAATAAGGTCTTGAACTGAGAGGCTTGTGAACGTGCTTTTCTTACGTCTTACAGACTTCATGTTTTGTCTAATGTGTAATAGTGTCATGTTTGATCAAGAGATAAGCACCAATATCCATCAAGCTTACTCCTACAAATGGAACATGTTACATGCTCAAAAAATCTTAAGTTGGTGGTTTAGATTTCATCTAGGAAATCTTTATTTTCCAGGGCTGTTGATCATCATGAAGAAAACATGGATCAGATTATACCAATCAATTAAGAGACTTAGATGACCAAAGGATCCCAAGTCCCAAACTTAATGCCGAAAGTGGCATTTTGAGAATGAACAAAATCTGTCCGAACGGTATCATTCTGAGAAAGAGGGGAGAGAGAAGCAACTACACAACAAAGACCAAAGATGTGATGCAATGAACTTGAAACTTAATCAACATATAACTTAAGTTTATACAATGTCACATGTTTGTTGTTTATATTTCTTTTTTTTTTCCTTGCACTTTGGTCTCCCTCACAGATGTTTGCCTCTGCATCTCGTCATCACCAAAGATGTCCTCCATTGTAAAAATGCCCGCTGCTCTCCTTGAGTCTACAAACCTATCAGCCACTTACCCTTCGAACTTATTCCAACAGGAATTTTGCCTAACGAACAAGAAAGAAAAGCGGGAAACAGGACAAGGTAGACAACCAAATTGCAGTATTGAACTCTCAAACTGCTAATTCCAAGTTCAACCATGTGATCACATGACAATTTCTGGCTTCAAAATGCTAGACTTTATCTCCTTGTGAGGCAGGACAACACCTCCATTGCTGTAAACTTCATCTCCAAGATGAACATCTTCTCCTAAGATTGTCATGTTCTCCACCCGAGCCCATTTTCCAACAGTGGAATGCCAACCAATAATGCTACCGGAGATGCAGGCATGCTTCTTGATACGAACTCCACGCATTATAGTACAGCGCGACAGCCTTACCCCAGACTCAATGATACATCCAGGACCAATGGCTACATCAGGCCCAATGAGGCACCCATCGCCTATTACAGCACTCTCATCTACCAAAACATTACCGACAAAGTGAGATCCAGCTGCTAATTCTGTAGAGGATTTCTTACGCAAGGAATCTAGGTACAATCTCAGGCCAGTAATGTAATCCTTTGGTTGTCCAATGTCCATCCAGAACCCAGGTAGCACCATTGCATAAAGCTTATCCTCTGCTGCAATCTTTGGGAAGACCTCTTTCTCAATTGAGGTGGGTCTCAGTTCAATTCGGTTAAGAACAGATGGATTCAACAAGTAGATTCCAGCATTGATTTTGTTACCAACAAATATCTTTGGTTTCTCAACAAACTTTTCAACTTTGCCTGTAGTTTCTTCCATGACCACAACACCATATTTTGAAGGCTCATCCACCTTGAAACAAAAGTAAGATCCTTTTAGTAAATCAAAATGGTTTAGTCCTTGACTAAGAACAAGAATTCTAGATCCATTTTACTACTTTACCTTGGTCACCATAATGGAAGCTTCTCCTCCATGACCCTTGTGAAAATTTATCATTTCTTTTAGTGGATACTCACTTATAACATCACTATTAAGGACAAAAAATGGCTCACCAGAGCCATCGATCAACTTGTCTCTAGCCAGAGCTAGAGGACCTGCTGTGCCAAGTGGTTCAGTCTCTTGTGAGCAGGTGATTTTAATGTCAAGCTTTTTCTCAAATTCTTTCAGGAAATTCAACATAATCTGCAAAAAAATTAGGATAAAAAACCTACCAAGCATTATAAAAACTAGCTTCAAGAAAAAAAGTCAATAACTCATTGTTATCAACGTCAAATTTGCAGCCATAAAAAGGGCCCTTTCGATGTTACCTCTGGTTGGTAATTGATGGCCAGAACAACTTCAGTAACTCCAATTGCTTTGAGAGCTTCAATCTGCTAGCATTAAAAAGAAACAAACAAACTAGGCTTGATTCACACGTTTAACACATAAAAGTAAAGCCACACACAGTCACACTTTGTTATTAGAATCATCAAATATATCTTGCAAACAAAGCTCTGTCTTGACAAATCTATTGTAAACAGGATTACCCGTTATTGAAAAATCTACAAAAATTTCAAGTCAATAGCGCATATAGAATTACCACAAACAATAAGTAAACTAAAGGCAGTCAGGGAAAAAAAAAGGAAAACCTGGTGCAGTATCATGGGTTTGTTAGCAAAATCCACCAGAGGCTTTGGCACGCTAAGAGTCAATGGTCTCAATCGGGTTCCGAACCCACCAACAAGAATGAGTGCTTTCATTCTGATAACTCACCAAAAAGTCAGTATTTCCTGTAAAATATCAGACCCATAACCACAAAAAAGTGAGTCGATAGTGTATCTAATAAACAAATCCCATAAATCATAAACAAAAACATGGGCAAAGAATTTATCATAGATGGATCTAAGGTGGCAAAGACGTTGAAAAAGTGGGGAGCTTAACATAGACTTACAGAGAGTTGTTTTTCAATTGCATTAATGGCAGAACAAGGGTTGACCTGAGTTTAGTCGTTAAGAGCTGTGACAGTGATCTTTGCGGGCTTTGAACTCTGAACAAATCTGAAAGCATACAGTTTGTTGATACATACGCAATTGAACGGAAATAACAAAGCTGTGATGGGACTCTGCGTCGGAGTCCAGCAAGGCTTTTGATTCTTTGATGAATTTACAAGGCCCTTGTCCCCTGAGGCCATCTGGGCTAGCGTAATAAGGTGGCCTTTCAACTCTTTTGATTTGGTCACGTATAAGGGTAACTGGGCACATGAAAATGCAGGCTTATAATTTAGTCCATCAAAAACTCAAAACAATTTTTTGGATCATATATACATTGCACTTTGATAATTTTAAATAAGGTGGTACGACATAAAAATATATAAAATTATATGATATTAAATTTTAACAAAAAAAAAATGATATATGAATTTGATAAAACAAAAAAATATGTGTTATATTTATTGTATCGATATAAATTATAATGTATTAATATTTTATATTTTATACATATTTAATATAAAATAAATACAAGATAAATACACGAACTTGAAAAACAACAAAGCTGACCAAATAGTTTTAGATATCGCATGGTTAATGTGAGATTCATTTACAAAAGCACACAAAAAAATTTTAAATGAAACTATCTTACTTCATTCAAAAGCAAGTAGGACTATGCTACTTATATTTTAAAATTTTCGTAGAAAAATTACATCCCAACCTTGCTTTCCATCTTTACCATATTATTATTATAGTAATCATTAAACATATCCTAATCAAAACCATTAACACTTGTGATGTTTGATCATATCCATATATTTTAATTTTATTCCAAGGTCGAGGAATACATTTTTCCTGCTAGAAAATACTTGGTTAAACCATTGCTACATAACTGATAACAACAGGACAAGTTTACTACATATAGGTGACATAATTCTAGCATACTTTAATAATGGAACTTGTATAAGTTGTGTTATTAGTCAACTAAAATTTAAAAAACTTGAAAGTTGAAATAGCTTGAAGGAATTAGTCTGTGAATTTTGTTAACAAAAAGAATATTGTTTAAACTATTTTTTATTTAAGATTCTGAAATTTAAATTTAAATTATTAAAATTAAAAGTTCAATATTTTATTATTCGCGACCGTTGACAATTTAGAGAAAAATTTTAAAGTATTTCTATTGTAACATTTATAAATTTTTATTGCTTTTATTTATGTCAAAATTAAAGAATAGGGTTCCTTTCATTCTTAATAGTAGTACATAAAAAGGTTGACTATTTCTTTCTCTCAATTAATTGTGAATATTTTATAAAAATATCAAATATCTACTTATTCATTGAAAACAAAAATCTAACCAATTTGTGCAACTTGTTTCAGCAAAGGTATTTTTCAAGTTATTTCTTTCAAAGTTAAATATCTTTCTCAAACCCCATTTCTTATTGTTTTCTTGTGAACTTATCCAATTTCAGAAAATGACTGTCCAACCGTGACAAATACCAAAAGTAAAGTTTTTATTAGGAATCCCTTCAATAAAACACTTCTCTTCTCCAAGGATATGTAACAGAACAATTAAAAGTTTTAGCTTTAGATATGATATTTTTATCTTATTAGTACATACCAATATCCACAAAATTAGTGTTTATTCATTCAATGGAATTAATACATGTAATATAAGAATATGGAACAACTTTTTGATATAGTTTTCATTGATAATTTTCACGAAACCAAATTCGTAGAATTATTACTATTTGTATTTGTCACATTTGTAATATATACGTACAAAAAAAAAATCCCAATTAACCTTCGGTCCAAATTAATAACCTTTCAAGTTTAACTTAATTTATTTTTTAATTTTTGTGGGCAATCAAAGTTTTTAATATTCATCCATCAAAGCCCTTCTGTGTTAAGAAACAATAACCACTCAGTAACTCCCCAGAAGAATTCAAAGAGGAAAAACACAAGCACAAACTGATTATTACTATATTTGATTCCACAATTAACATAATAAGAAGCCCTTTGGCCTTGAAATATTGATGAAAACATCTCTCAAACATTACAGTTGGATATATTTACACACTAGCCTAATAACAACACAAAGGCATAAGGCAATCCTTTTGGTCTCCCCACACCCTTGACTCTTTGTTCATCCTTTTTCTGTTTTGCTACACGATCCCTTCATATTTCACAATAAAGAAGAAAAATACAAATTACGCATATGCTTCCCCTTTGGGCTTTCCATACGCTTATTAATTGCCCCAAACCCATACTTTATTTATTGCATACACATCTTCGGCTTCCTTCAGACATGTCACTGCAGTATGTAATGTTTAGCTTCGATGATGATGATGATGATTATCATGTAACGACGCGGCGAGAAGTCAAACGAAGACAGGAGACTGAACTCCGGTTGACAAAATAATCTTAGTAGTAGAAGAAGAAGTAGCCAGGGAAGATGGTGATGAAGAAGAAGTAGAAAAATTCCCATAATCTGATTGAAAGACTTGTTTATCAGATATTTGAAACCTGCCAGAATCTCCAGTAGGGAGTCTCATGTATGAAGGCGAGGGTGACTCATTGAACCATCTTGCTAAAACATGGCCTTCTCTTCCATTCTTGTATTGGACTATAGCCCTGTAAACAAATGGAATAAGACCTTCCATTTCTTCTTTTTATTGTGTGAAAGGAATAAATAGAGCGACAGAGAGGGTACTTTTGGTTTTTGGAAGAAAACCAAATATTCTGAAAATATTGGTTTGGTCTGAATCTGATTGAAGGAAATGAAGGGAGAGATCGGTTTTAAAAGACAAGGTTCGGGTGGTGACCTGGCGTAATGGCGTGGAACTCCAGCTCTTCACGCTAAAATCAAATCCCCACGAAGTCTTAAATTACAAATTCACATTTTTATTTATTATTATTTTTTTACAAAGGAAGCTGCATATTGAGGATAAGGGAAATATTATACATATTGGGATTTAAACGTGTTTCTGATGACTATATAAACCGACTGAGGTTTATTACCCTTTTGAAAGCTATAACCTAACTGATTTGGTCAATTAATTTTTAGTTTCCATCATGTTTTTTTCTTGTTAACAATGTTTGTCTGTTTGGACATGGTTTTAGAGTAGGGTATTTGATTAAAGTTGGTGGTACATCATGCGCCCACTTGTTTAATCAGTACCAAGCTTTATAGAAAAAAAAAATTCTTGCTTTACCATATCCTGTTGAATACCAGAGAGGTTATACCAAGATCAGATATCCTGGATTATTTTTGTTTTCTGTTTCCCTTCCAGTTGTTCAATATTGACTATACGTCCCAATATATATATATATATATATATATATATATATATATTTTCCTTCAGAGGAATATCCAATACAGTGTAAAATAATGAATATTAAAGCCCTTCCAGTTGTTCACTAAGCATTCAGATATAGTTTGAATTTGGGTTTGTAATGAAAAAATTGCCACCTCTTGACAATTGGTTACCTTCTAAGACAAATCCCTTGCCTACCAGCCAACTTGGTGGCTCCAACCTATCTTTGTCAGCATTGACAGATATTTTTCCTTTTAATCAACCACTTCTAATAAAAACCAGGTAAGATGGCTCAAGTTCTCATGTTTTATCCAAAAGTGACCAAACCAGGTAAGAAGCTAAATCTACCCTTTGACTCAATTCAGATTCCTAAACAGGAATTTCCATGGTTAAAAAAAAAACCATCTTTCAATCAAAGGATGAGAAGCTATCAACCATTTTCCATTGCATCTTAATTCTGATTAATCAGAAACCAAAATCTAGAATTAGGGAAATTAATGAAAGATATGGATAGAGTAAAAAACCCAAATAAGGAACTTCTGAAACACCTCCATCCACATATTCATCTTGCTGTCAATGGTTTCTATTAGCTCTATTTCAAAATCATATGGCTAAACAGAAATTAAAAAAAAAAAAATTGCCAATCAATACCTTGGGTCGGCACATAGCCATAGGACAAGATCAGCCGTGCAGAAAATAAATTCTTGACCACTTCATACTGTGAAATTATATAAATTTAAATTAGCTCTTGCAAAAACTAAAAAAGTTGGCAAGGCTTGAGATGAAAAGATTGCAAGTTACGAAATTTAAATTTCAGATTTATTGTATGCTATTGATCTGTTAAATTTTGATTTTTTTTTTCTCCTGTTTTCTTAAAATTAAAAATTGCTTACCGACTTCATTGTCTCAGTTGTAGACTAAGTCATTGTTTGCATCAACATACGGCTGGAAATTAATCTTCGACAAGTCCTTTTCTTAATGCAATAAACAAAATTTAGCTTCAAAGGAGCGGTGGATGATCATGCCAACTCCGAAACAAAACCAAAAACTGCGTGTGCCCTTTTACTTTGTGGAGGGTTAGGTGATGAGAGAGCGCAAAGCTGGTGTCACACTACACGGTCTCCCTTAATATTATTTTCCCTTTTGAACTTTGTTTGTTCCTGCCACCATCAAGGCTTAGCTGTCTATGTTTTTAGCTCATTTCAGTCATTTTATAACCTCAGTGGAGGTCCAAATTTAATGTTTCGAAAATCATACGCACAAATAATTTTATAATATCATTTTATTTTATTTTATTTTATTTTTATATATCAAATATGATCTAAATATACTGTATGATTCTTAAGTATATAATTTACATATAATTGAAATCAATTTAAATATTATAGGACCATTATTTTCGCACAAACCAAAAAGAAAAATTCATAATAAAAATGGCAATTTTGCACCCTAAGGTTGAAAGATTTGGGTTAGCTTATTTTTTGAGTCCAGTATGATTGCGCCGAGTATCTAGAATGCAATCAGTTTTGTTCTTTTGCCTGGCGGAACTAATTTGGTTGAAGTTTTGCTCATGTTTCAGCTATACACACAAAAGGCTGAATTTCTGTTCTGTTGAACAAACAAAGCCCAAAATGTCTGCCTTTCAGCCCAAATCCAGGACGTTTTCCTGGATTCAGCCGCTTGTGTTTCCAACTTTGGAGATTCCAAAAAGATGTTATGGTTACTCTTTCAGCTTTGCTTGTCTTACATTTATAGAAGCACTAACAAAGGAGAAAAGAAGATGGCAATTTCCACCCAAGATTAGCTTAAAAGTTCCATTTAACACATAAGCACTTAATCCATATAAGAAAATGATCCTTGAACCCCTATTGATACATTTTTTGGACAAACTTTATGTTTGACACATGCCGGTAGCTCGACGCTCGGAATTCAAGAACTAGAGAAATTAAAGGTAAAATTTTGAAATGGCCAACAGCCACCCGCTGTATACCCTCCATCCACAGAAATAACCTGTCCAGTGATGTATGAGGCAGCAGGAAGGCAAAGGAATGCCACTAATGATGATATCTCTTCAGGTTCTCCGATCCTGGGCATTGCTGTTCCAGCTATTAGCCTGAGAAATTCCTGAACGGCAGGTGAGCCTGGCTCCTGGAAGAGAAATACAAAGAATCTTAACACAAATCAGCACGAAAAGATATGTCCATAATTCTTCATTAAGGTAGGTTTAAAGGTAATTTACTGGTGCTTTAATCGAGGTTCTGACACCCCACGGTGAAACAGTGTTCGTCCGAATGTTATCCTTTGCCCACTCGCATGCCAAGTTCTTTGTAATTTGGTTGATTGCTCCTGGAATTGCAACAACCATGTTTAATTTGTATGATTCTGAATATCCAGCAAAACTTAAGCTTGCTAGCATCTACAAATCACATAACACACCTTTAGATGCTGAATAGGCTGATAATCTAGGTAGAGCCACTGAACCAGCTACTGAGGAGATAAACACAATACTTCCATTTCCTGATGCTTTCAGGAACCGATGTGCAAGTTGACAAAGATGGTAAGGAGCCTCAACGTTGGTAGTCATTACAGTTGAGTAGTCTTCCAAAGTGTGTTCCACGCAAGGTTTGATCATACTGATTCCAGCATTATTGACCTAAGGAGAAAACTTGCTTTCAATTAATTATTCTAGTTGTTGTACTTTCCCCAAGGAAAAGTAATTTGTTTTCCTCTGAGTATGAGTTAACAACTAATCAAATTGCAACTTATTTGACAACTTGATATCCAACTACAAGTATTAAATGTGCAGCTAGGCCTCAGCATCAATAGTCAACAATAGCAAATCACAGAATATTAGATTAAAAAAAAAAAAAACAAAAGTTTTTCTTATGGGTATGAACCAAATATTATTCAAACCTTGTTAGTAGGTAGTAGATGTAAGATATGTTTGATATATAAAATTATGATAAGATATGATAAAATAATATTATGAATAAAATTAGATTAAATAATTTTATTTTATTTTATATTTGATGTGTGTAAAGATTAAGATAGGATAATTTTATTTATTGGTCAAAATTATTTTTTTTTAAAATTTATATAATTTAAATTATTGATATAATTTTTAAGAGTATAATTAGACATGTAAGATTAATCTTATAAATTAAAAATAATTCTCTCAATGTTAGAAGGATTAAATTATCTTATACCTAAAAAATGATTAATTATTCTTGCAATCTTATTCCTTTCTTTATATACAAATAAAATATAATATAAGATGATCTTATTTTTTTTTTATCCGTCATCTTATGCACTGACCATAGTTTACAGTAGTTTACAAGACAGTAGTATTTTCAGCTAAGGCAGCTTGGCTTGCTTAGAAGAACATATTCTTAGAGCTAAACTTACAAGGATGTTGAGTTTGCCATCAAAAACAGAGGAGACAGTCTCCATAAGCTTCTCTCTCTGCTCCCTAGATGAGAGATCACAAACAGAACCACTCACTTTAAACCCTTTACTCTTCCATTCTTGTAACCTTTCATTAATCTCAGTCTGGTTCCGGGAACATGTATGAACGACTGCCCCAAGTGCTGCTAGTTCTTCCACAGTGGCATATCTGACATACAATTAAACCATCATACTAATGAAAAGTAGCATATGAAGTTCAAGAGCATATAAAACAGAAAGAGAACATGAAAAAAATGGAGAGAAAAGATGGAGGTCGAACCCTATGCCTTTTGTTCCACCAGTGACAAGGGCAGTCATACCCTGAAGAGACCATCTTTGATTCTGACAACCTAGTTCTGCTCCAGCCATCTCTGACACTGCAACTTTCTTTTTCTTCAGTTTTTTGGATGAATAGAAACACTAACTACTGCCAGTTTTTTATACTAGCTTAACCTGAAACGTCTATCAATAGTTTATATCAAGCATTCATTGGCTATTGTCAACCCTTGTCACCAGACCAAAGAAAATTAGAATCCAGAAAAAGACAAACCAGAAACGTCGAAAATATCGAGTTACCTGCTTTTTTAAAATGGGTTCAAAAAATTTTCTCCTGAAAATCTAGCTCACGATTTCTCTTTGCAAACTCTTCAAGTCTTTCTTTTTTTTTTTTTTTTGTGTTTTTAATTAGGATCAGCCGGCAGCGGCATACCCCAAGAAAGAGACTGTTTTTCTCGTCTAAATGTCTAATTGTAGGAGCTGTCGCCAGCATTAACTTTGTAACTAGAGAAACAATAGTCACTATCCGATTGTCGCTTTTTCCTACTAATTTAAGATTTAAGACTTCCAATCCTTCTACCTTTTCAACTGAAAAAATTGGGTTCAGGGCAAGGTATTGTTCTGGTTCAGGCCCATGTTTTGTCGAGTCGTTGTCATTGTATGAAACTCTAATCTCCATCACCAAAGACCATAATAAAGCCCATAATTGTTCGTTCTTCTTTTTGGTGCTTGGTCCATTGATTAACTATTATTTTTTATTTAAAATTATTGAAATTTTAACTGTTCTTGATTGGTCAACAATAGGATTTCTTTTGTTTGATCCCCTCAAACTCAGATCCATCACGTCATCTCATGGTTTTGCCATTAGACCCTCCTAAACGTTTTATTGCAGTAGAAGTCGTCATTACATAATTTTTAGTAATTTTTTTTTTGTCTTCAGGTCTTTGACATAGTCAAAGACTCGAAGTCTTCTTGACTATCAGGACAATAAAAGCAGTCTCAACGACTCTTTTTCGTACACAAGAATTCAGTCCAAACTGAAAGTAGAAACAAAAGCAGCGACAGTAACCCATCGATGATTCAAAGATTTGATTTCATTTACCGTATAATTTTCTAGTTGAACCAGTCAAACCCTACGCGGAAATTGAATTACAATGTGAGGCGGGCCAGATTGGCCTCGTTGGCCCTTCCCAGCTGCTTTCCTACCGCAAAATGCTCACTGGTAGACAAACAGGAATTAAAAACATATTTCCACTACGTTAATACGTAATGGGATTACATTTGCCCTGAAATTCCAGGGCAGTTAAAAATTTTTCGTACACGATACGGCCATAAATGCAACTTATTTTTGCTACATATGTCATTATGCAGTAGTTAGTGAAGAAACTTGGACTCTAGAGACTTGGTAGTGTTTTTTGACTGAATCAGCATCCAATATCTCAAAATTCTTGGTGTTTGAAAAAATACAGCACACCCCAAAGCCAAAGGCAAAATCAACACAAAGAGGGAAAACAAGACTTGGATTGGACTGACCTTAAAGGATTGTTTTTCTTTTGTACTAATGTTCCGATACTGTATTTCACAAAAAGTATATGCATCCATCGATTACAATTACAGATGCATAAAATAAAAGAGATGAAGTGAAGGTGATGGGAATTATTATCAACCATCGGATCAAGCAAGTCAAAAAATTTGTCAAAAAGTCAGACCTCAAAACAATTTTCTCCCTGTTGGCACAGACATATATAGATGATATAAGCAAAAGAAGATTGAATTGGCATACTGTTGGTTGAATTATGGCTAAAAATATCGAGCTAAAGCGACATAAATAGAAAGAAAATGATAATAGAATCCTACGTGGCAGTAAAACCTCAAAAGTAGACCATGAAAATTGTCTCTTTCTCTCTCTCTCCTTTCAGACACACCCAAAAAATTTTCATAATTTGTGTTACAATTATCCGTATCTTCCTCTGGTAGACCAGCAGAAGAGGCCAAGCGCGTCCCAATGAAGAAGCTTGGAAATATCCCTAAATCTGCAACGTCTCCTTAAATACCCATTTCTCTCCTCTACAATTTTATGCCTAAAACCTTACCAACCAAACCCCAAACAACATAACAGATTAACAGAAACTATTACAACGTTGGCAGCAGCAAAACCAAAAACAAGAAACAAAGTCGGAAGAGGACACTTGGCTAACGCCATAATTGTGGCGTACGTCCATGGCGTGGCACACTGCAAGGGTAGATAAAGCTGGTTCTGTCTCCAACAAGTGCACTATTTTTCACCATGAAAGGCCTCCTTCTCCCAAGCTTGAAATCTTAGCCTTCGAGACAGCCAAAACCATGTCCCGCCTTGTTGCCCTGTATAAGTCTCTGTCTGATGATGAATTCTTCAAACTCCGGACAGGTCCCATGAAATCCACTGGCGTTGCGGTTTTGAACTCCACAAATGAAAGCTATCTTCTTGGCCTTGCGTGTAAAGAGAAGTTCGATGATCTCGATCAGGCTGCCAGCATAGTTTCACGTTTGGGTAAAAAATGCACCGTTGAAGAACTTAACAGGTTTGAATTCGCTTACCACAAAATCAAGCAGGGAATTATTGATGTCAGTAACCTTCATTTTAACTCCAGAAACGTTGGAAAAATCATTGAGAAGATGCAGAAATACGCGAATGCGACATCTATTCTGTACGCATCTTTGGCAGCCCTCAACGAATTAGAAATATCAGAGAAGAACATGCAGAAATGGAAGAGAAACGGCTGCCCCAAAAAATCATCAGAAAGGACCAACATTGACTACTTCAACAAGAAAATCTCTTTCCAAAGAAAACAGGTCCAACATTTCAGACAGATTTCCCTTTGGAGCCAAACATTTGATAAGAGCGTTGGGTTAATGGCTCAAATCGTTTGTGTTGTTTATGCCAGAATATGCACCATTTTTGGACCCTTTGTTCCTAGCCTGCCTCGCAGCACCAAGAACAGACATTTTCATACGCGCCTTGTTATGTCGAACCCCAAAACTTTACACATGAAGGTTTATCCAGGGACCAATTATAGCCTCCTTGTAAATAAAGAGAAGTACAAGAAACAGGCCTCCAAATCGGCTCCAATCATGAAAACTTCCAGGATCAAACCAGGTTCCACCCGTTTCCACAGCAGGGAACTGTCACCTGAAGATAAAAGCTTAGGTTTCCGAATTTCAGCTGTCACCATAACCGATAAAGTCTCCTCCAGAACCAACAAAATTGAGGGAAAAACTAGAAGAAACCAAAAGCTGATCCATTCGGCTCCAGATAACACTGTAGGAGCAGCAGGGCTCGCAGTTCGTTATGCAAACGTAATCACCATGGCGGAGAGCTACTTCTACTCAACAACAACCATCAGCGACGAGGCAAGGGAGCACATGTTCGAGATGTTACCAATAAGCCTGAAACACAGACTGAGAGGGAAGCTCAAAAGCCATTGGTGCAAGGAAGCTGAAGAACGTGAGGGGCAACAGGATTTGGCAGTAGGGTGGAGGGAGGCCTTCGAGGCGATAATAGGGTGGTTGGCTCCAGTGGCGCATGATACGTTGAGGTGGCAGCAAGATAGGAACTTGGAGCAACAAAAATTAGATGCAAAGCCGACAGTTTTACTGTTGCAAACATTGCATTTCTCGGATTTGGAGATAACCGAGGCTGCAATTGTGGAGGTTTTGGTGGGGTTGAGTTATATATATAAGTACGAGAGTAGGCGGGAGAGGAGTGGTGTTGGCTATAGTGAACCCAACGTTAGTAGATGATCATGATATTGGGCTTAACCTAGGAGTAAGCTGGGATTTTTTATTTTTTTAATTTCAGATTAGGTTTTCTGGTTCTTTTTTCTTTGTTTTAAAAACTATAGTATACTTGATTGGTTGATTCTTTTATGTTCTTGTTCAAGCCCTTCTCGACGAAGGGGAAAAGAAGGAAGTGAATGACAGATATTGTTTGGTGGAAGAATAATTAGGGGGTAAATTAAACCTATAGTCAAGACTAATAAACTTCTGTTCCTTCTTTGCCAAGAACTCAAATGTTTCACGCAGAGATTGAAAGGAACTAGGGGCTTTATTTGCTGCCGTGTGGATAATAGATTCTTTACAAAAGATGAGGTACGTACAATAATTTGCTATTTGTGGGAAAAACAGGCACCGGAAATAATTAAACTGATACGATGTTCTCGATGGGAAAAACTAAGGGAAACCTGGTGAGAGATTGCTTTGTGTCTCAAATAAAGGAAAATTATCCTTACCTTATAGCATTGCTAAAAAATTGTACATTAAAGATTGATACTGACAGAAAATCATGAGATTCAAACCCAAAATGAAGTTTTAAGACAGAATGAAGTCATAAACTTTGGCAGTGATTAACTGATTAGCTGCATTGGGGAGGCTTTCAGACTCAGGCTTGCAGGTACCACCAGGACTTCCAGTGATCCTGTAAACAGCAATCTTTGCTCGAGCTGGGGCTTGAGTGACAGTATGTTTGGATTGGAATTGTTTCCTTTGCGCTCTCTAGATTTGCTACATCTGGCAATTGTTATGCTTCTAACAGGTTTTCCACTTATCCTGTTATTTTCTTGAGTAATAAAATTTTCAATTATCCATAAAAAAATAATAATAATGAACTTGCCCTCAAGCAAACCCCTTTTTAGCAACATGGATGCTTTACGGCCACATACCTCCCCTTGGACATATGGAACCGAAGCCCATATTTTTTGGGTCAGAAACTTCTCCAAGTGAACCTGGGCCCATATTTTTTGGGTCAGAAACTTCTCCAAGTGAACCGAGGCCCATTTTTTTGGGCTACATAAAAAGCTAAAAATTTCAGAAAAGTCCAAGGCAGAAACTGTGAAACTCCTAACACCGCCTATTTAACTTGGGCCTAATTCCAACAGCAAGTTCCAATGGAAAATGCTACGCTATCCCAATATCCAAACCAAGCCGAATTTCATCTTCAAAACACTACGCTCCAAAAACTATTTTGGGTTTTTTTTTCAGTTTCATTTTGTCTTGTAGCCATTAACCTTCCTAATTATGATCTCAGCCGTTGAGTCATGGCTACTGTTGTCTCAACCGTAGGAGCTGTTAACTGAGTGTCTGTACTACAATGTTTTTTCCCGCCTGTTTTGCTTTTGTCTTAGTCATTGCCGAAGCATCTCTGGACTTTGCAGTCCTTCAACCATCTCTTTTTCATTGTTTTAATCGTCTTTTATCTTCTAGGTCTTAAGAAAATGTAAAACGAAATGCATTTCCAATCATCTGTTTCTTGCTTCCAATTCAATTTGAAAACTGTGAATTCTTTTCTTCTTTTTCTTGGTTTCTAGTTTATAGAAAATTAAGAAGAAGATCATAAGGATATGGATTCAGTTATTTTATCACAATCTTGTGGTGTTGTAGAAAAAAAGACTAAGTCTTTGTTGCAGTTGAACTTGGATGGCTCTGCTGCTGGAGCATCAATTTCAAGCTCAGCATTCTTGGGGAACAGTCTGAAGAAGGTTACCTCAAAAATCAGCCACCAGAAGTTTTTCCCCAAGAATTTAGAGGTCGTTTCTGAATATGAGGAGTCAAAGCAGACCTAAAGGACAGGTGGAAGGGACTTGCCTATGATGAATCTGATGATCAACAGGATATTACCAGAGGAAAAGGAATGGTGGACACTCTCTTCCAGGCTCCTATGGGGACTGGAACTCACCATGCTATCATGAGTTCCTATGACTACATCAGTCAAGGTCTTCGCATGCAAGTGGCTAAGGAAATTCCAAAACAGTTGATGCAAATTTAAGGTTAATTCAAGGAATTGCGGTTTGAGATTGAATTTTGACAAGGGACACTGCTGAACTGTTTGTAGGTACAACTTGGACAATAGCATGGATGGGTTCCACATTGCTCCTGCATTCATGGACAAGGTTGTCGTTCACATTACCAAAAACTTCTTGAACTTGCCAAACATTACGGTTTGTTCATAGAATGTCTTGAGATTCGTTTAATCAGCAAGTATATCATTTTGTTGAATAATTTGTGAATAACTGTTACAGGTCCCTCTCATCTTGGGTATTTGGGGAGGTAAAGGTCAGGGCAAATCATTCCAATGTGAGCTTGTTTTGGCCAATATGGGAATCAAGTAAGTTAATATCTCTACTGCTTTCCCTTTCTTTTACTTCAATGATTCAGGAAACTTGTAGAAAAAGAGTGAGATAATTGAAATATTGTGAGCATACTAGTAATTGTCTTGACAAAATGATTGACACAATGTTCTTGATTTGTAAAAGACTAGAACCTTTTCAATATTCGTTTAAATCCTTACTCTTGAATCTTATGACAATGAATTTTCAGTCCCATCATGATGAGTGCTGGTGAATTGGAAAGTGGGAGTGCTGGAGGGCCTGCAAAATTGATTAGGCAAAGGTATCGTGAGGCAGCAGACATCATCAGGAAGGGAAAGATGTGCGGCCTCTTTATCAACGATCTTGATGCAGGTGCTGGAAGGATGGGTGGAACCACCCAATACACTGTCAATAATCAAATGGTGAACGCTACCCTTATGAACATTGCTGATAACCCCACAACCGTTCAGCTTCCTGGCATGTACAACAAGGAAGAGAACCCTCGTGTTCCTGTCATAGTTACCGGTAATGATTTCTCCACACTGTATGCTCCTCTCATCCGTGATGGTTGTATGGAGAAATTTTACTGGGCCCCTACTCGGGAAGATAGGATTGGTGTGTGCTCTGGTATTTTCAGAACGGACCATGTTACTTGGGAAGACATCATCAAACTTGTTGATACTTTCCCTGGACAATCTATTGGTAAGCCTTCCTTACCTTAAGGATACTTTCTATTGAGTGCAAAAATGAAGTTGATGGGAGAATACTAATATATGTTTATTGCAGATTTCTTTGGTGCCCTCAAGGCAAGAGTATATAATGATGAAGTGAGGAAATGGATTTCAGAAGTTGGAGTAAATAATGTTGGGAAAAGGCTTGTGAATTCGAAGGAGGGTCTTCCAACTTTTGAGCAGCCAAAAATGACTCTTGAGAAGCTACTTGAGTACGGAAACATGCTTGTCCAAGAACAGGAGAATGTGAAGAGAGTGCAGTTGGCTGATAAGTACTTGAAAGAGGCAGCTCTTGGAGATGCTAATGATGATGCCATCAAGAAAGGCCGTTTCTATGGTTAGACCCTTGATCCTAGAGGCCTTGATGGAAGGTTTTGCATCTGGCTTTCGGATTATAAATACATAAAAAAAATGTAGGAAGAATAAAATTAAGCTTTTCATAATTGTTTGGATGCAGGCAAAGCAGCTCAGAAGGTTAATCTTCCTGTCCCTGAAGGCTGCACTGATTCATCAGCAGCACACTTCGGTCCAACCGCCAGAAGTGATGATTGGAGCTGTGTTTACAATTAAAAATGTTCTTAAGAGAAAATAATCTCCAAAAGTTACTGACCTACTCTGTTTGATAGTATTTTTTTAGTTGTATTTTAGCAGTTTTATCTGTTTCCATAATTCAATCCCTATAGTTATACAACTTAATAGACATAGTTATGTATAATTGCAGTGATGCTCTCTCCTCATCCAAATAAGACCCTCAACCATGTGCTACTTGTATGATAACCGGATTGTGGTTGCACCTATTTTCTAATTTCCAAAGGGCACAACCGGAAAACAAGCCAACAAGAAGCCACTGGATTTGTCATTTGTGTACAGCAAATGATTTATGCTAACTTTCCCACTTGGGCTAGTAAATGTTCAAGAAATTATCCCAATTTTTTAACCCAGACAACCTGACGTTTCGATCTAGCTTCAAATGGGCCAGTCTTAGTCTTTATACTTCTACATATTTGTGCAAAAAGCTGTACCTGGTATTTTTGTTACCAGCAGAGCAACACTGTGATTGTCAGATAATCAGTTGTAGATAAATAATTGTACAGTTTTTTAAATAAGAAGCACATGCTGATTCTAATTGTCAGAAGGGTCCGGACAACCATTGTCCGAAAAGCTCCCCATGCTCCAACTATTTGCAATATCTGTAAAAAGTTCAACTTAATTTAAGCCAACTGGGGCGAGGTTGCTGTTTTTCGTATTGAATTTTTCAATAAACAGAGAATCTAGGCTGCAAAAAAATCTGTGGACTCATCTCTTCCTCTTGGTTTCTCAGGGTTTAAGTTTGTTCTAATTTTTTATTGTCTTCCTCGAAAAGAGTTCACAATACAACGGCAGTAATCCTAGATGGGGTCAAATCTTAACAAGGGTTATCAGACAATAGAATCATCATCACGTCTACGTGGCATGAAGTGAGGAATAAAAAGTTTCAAGTGCAAGTTGATCTGTGATTAAACTAATGAGAGCAACATGTTAAAATAATCCTTTGTTTTGTCCCCAAGCCAAGTCATCTGAGTCACTCTTTCTTCCCACTTTTTCTTTCATAAAGTCAGCAAAATGAGGTTTGAACTTGGAAAGTTTTGAAATCCTTATCTTCAATCAACTGTCAAATCACATGCGCTCAGACTTCATCCAGAAGCAGATTTGAGTCTCCATTAATTTGGGCTGCTTGAAAATTGAAATTCCTTTGAAGATGTTTACCCATCAAAAGAAGACAAGTTCCTGAGTTTTGTGGGCATTCACTCATCTACTAATTCTATCCTTAGAATTTCGAATTTTAAGACACATTTTGCTGCAGCACGTGATGCTTGTAGGGACATGTTATCATTGCATCAAGAAACATAGATGAGAGACAGAGAAGAACGTCAGAAACAGAATCTTACGATTCCTTATCTTCTCATTTCAAGTTAGGTCGAACACTAAGCCAAAAAAAAATCCTTAATCTTATGTTGAAACAACAATTAAAGTGATTTAAATCAAACTTGCCTGGTGTGGTGGGGCAAAGCCTGGCAAGCTCAAGCTTATTTCTCAACCACTTCCCTCTCTTTCCTTTAGCCTCTCTTACAAGAAAGAATGGCAAAAGAATGCAAATTTTATTTGACCTCTGCAAGCCTTCTTTTTGTTGCCACAAAACAATATGCAAAGCACTGAGTCATTAATTATTCTTCTATAAGTGTCAGATCAGCTCCATGGAGTGTGATTTTTAGGTTTGCTTTGTCCCACATCCCCCACCTAAAAGAATAAAAGGTATTGCATTTAAATTAAAAAAAATGTGTTCCACAACCTTTATGCCATCGATTCAAAGAAATGATTTTAATTGTTGGGAGCATCAAGAAGAATGTCTTACTTTTAATTTTAACAGACAAACATTTTAAAAATCCAAGATTTTAGCTGTAAACTTGAAATTCTAAATTTTTTTAAAGTTTTTAATTTATTTTTAATTTTTTTATCTTATTATTTATTTGAATAAAAAAAATTACACTTATAAACTCCTTTAAAGTTATAATCTTTAAATATCAATTGATTCAAAAGAAAATCACTGGAATTCGCTTTAAGGAACCTGTAATTGTCAAACAAATTTGTTTCCAAGGGAAAATAAAAAAGTTCGTCACTTTTATCCATTGACTCGATCCACTCCAGAAACATGGCTTACCCTTCTCCAAAGGGTACGTTGAAGACTTGACGTGGGCTCATCAGAAAAGGAAAATCACGTATGCATCATGAATGAAAACTTTTTTGCACAAGATGAAAAAATAAGCCACCCCCTGCTCGTTTCTCATCAAGAGTTCACTCTGGCTCGGGATGGTCTGCGCCAAAACCTGACCATAACCCAAATTAAAGCGCCACTCTTTCTCTTTCTTTAGTAATCAATATCTGTTGGCCCATGTGAGAATTGGACAAATTGATAGCCAATGTTCCTGCTTAGAACCCACCACTTCCCCTTTAATCTCTATCATTGGATCTCTTTTAAGTTTCACCAACACTTTGCTTTCTTTTTTATTTTTTATTTTTCTTTCTGAATCAATCACCAACCTTTTCTCTTTCAACAAAAAGACCTAAAAAATGCTTATAGATTCTTCAAAGCTTAAATTCCGTGATCACCATCGTTTTCCAAATTCTTATCCCTTTTAATCCTGGTGCCCTTGATTTCGTTCTCTCTTGTCCTTAACATGGTTTATTTCCTTCCACTTCTGTCTACTCTCTTCTTCCTCTTAATCTCAGCTTCTTCTTCCCAATCCACCGAGCTTTTCTTTCCAGGATTCAAAGACGCAAATCCCAACAACTTCATATTAACAGGACTTGCACAGATTGACAAAAAGGGCATTTTACGCTTAACCAATGACACCAGTCGTTTAGTGGGTCACGCTTTTTATAGCTCTCCCTTCAGATTCAAGAACTCAACTAATGACCAAGCTTTTTCCTTTTCTACCTCCTTTGCTTTGGCTATAGTTCCTGAGTATCCAAAGCTAGGTGGCCACGGCCTTGCTTTCACAATCACCACTTCTAAAGATCTCAAAGCACTTCCAAGTCAGTATCTAGGAATCCTCAACGCAACTGATATCGGTAACTTCTCAAACCATCTTGTTGCAGTTGAGTTCGACACCGTTCAGGATTTTGAGTTCCAGGACATCAACGACAACCATATTGGCATCGACATCAACAGCTTGGTCTCAAATGCCTCGGTTCCTGCCAGCTACTACACGGATGGTTCCACAAAGCAAAATCTTACTCTCAAGAGTGGAAAAGCAATCCAAGCTTGGATCGATTATGATTCAGTTGAAAACGTCATCAATGTAACGGTCGCACCAAATTCTACAAGACCAAGATTGCCGATCTTGTCTTTCCATGTAGATCTTTCACCGTTTCTTCAGGAGTTTATGTACGTTGGTTTCTCAGCTTCAACAGGGTTACTTGCTAGCTCGCATTATATTTTAGGCTGGAGTTTTAAAATCAATGGACAAGCTCAGGCTCTTGATCTATCTTCTCTGCCTTCGCTTCCCGGACCACCAAAAAAGCATACAGCTTTAACAGTTGGTGTCTCAGTTTCTTCTGTCATTCTTGTCATAATTGCTCTATCCATTGCCATTTATTTCATTATCAAAATCAAGAACGCCGATGTGATTGAAGATTGGGAGCTGGAGATCGGACCACAAAGATACTCTTATCAAGAACTCAAGCAAGCAACCAATGGTTTCAGTGACAAAACCTTACTTGGACACGGTGGTTTTGGTAGAGTTTACAAAGGAACGCTTCGAAATTCAAAGACTGAAGTTGCTGTCAAGCGAATTTCTCATGAATCAAAGCAGGGTTTGCGTGAATTTGTATCAGAAATTGCTAGTATTGGAAGGCTTCGCCATCGAAACTTAGTTCAGTTATTGGGATGGTGCAGGAGAAGAGGTGATCTTCTTATTGTTTATGATTTCATGGCTAATGGCAGCTTAGATAAGCTTTTGTTTGATGAGCCTAAAACAATCCTGAATTGGGAGCAGAGATTCAGGATTATAAAGGATGTAGCTTCTGGTCTTCTCTATTTACATGAAGGCTATGAACAAATTGTAATTCATAGAGATGTTAAGGCCAGCAATGTGTTATTAGATGATGAGTTGAACGGAAGATTAGGAGATTTTGGCCTGGCAAGATTGTATGAACATGGTTCAAATCCGGGGACAACTCGGGTGGTTGGGACGTTGGGGTATCTGGCACCAGAGCTGCCCAGGACAGGAAAGGCCACAACAAGCTCCGATGTCTATGCTTTTGGTGCACTCTTGCTCGAGGTTGCTTGTGGGCGTAGGCCCATCGAGCAAAAGGCATTGCCAGAGGAATTAGTGTTGGTTGATTGGGTATGGGAGAAGTTTAGGCAACGGAGGATCCTTGATGTGGCAGACGCTAGGCTCGGTGGCCAATATGATGAAGGTGAAATGATGATGGTGCTTAAATTAGGCCTAATTTGTACAAATGATGCGCCTGTGGCACGGCCTACCATGAGGCAGTTAGTGAGGTATCTTGATGGAGAGGCTGAAATACCGGAAAATTTGAGGCCACCGGGGGCATTTGAAGGAGGGAAGGGTTTCACAGAAGGGTTTGATTCTTTTTTGCATTCATTCGCGTCCTCATCATTTGATAAAATGAGCTCACATTCATTCATGGAAAATGGTAATGGTGGTACTGGTTTGGCTTCTCTTTCAACCTCTCCACTTTCCCTTCTTCGAGAAACTAGATAGTGTAATACGTTTGAAAGAGTGTTTTTCTTTTCTAATTTTTTCGAGGGCTGTGCTTGTAGTATATGCAAAACTGTGGAAAATTTTAACCAAAAGGGCAAAAGACAGTGATACTTCAACGAGGTTTTCTGTTCTGACAATGTCTGGCCAAATGTTTGATGGGTTTTTCCTTTATTTTCAGTTGTGACCTCCTCTTTTTTTGTGTAGTGAAAAATCCTATGTCCTTGTATGTTGTATGGGCATTATTGTCCCAGATGAAATTAGAAATTAGTTCACTTAATACCATAAGAGATCTCCATTCCTTTTCTTCTTTTAAGCAATAATTAGTAGCAGTAAATATTCTTGAAATTCTTGAAGTTTAAAGAGTTGAAAATGATATTCAGAAACTGAGCTGCAAATTCACCAAATTTAAAGGTAATTGGAATGAGTATAATAAACTAATAAAATATAGCAGAGTCAATGAGTTATAATGACAAATTTTAATGGAACAGTTATATGTTAGGCGTGGGAAAAACTCATTTTGAAAGGGAAATGCTTTAAAGGGACCATCTTTTGTACCAAAAAGCAAGGTAAATTAAATGAAAGATTATCAATGAATGATTAATTTAATTGATCAAAGCTAATCTTTTTTAATTAAAAAATTTTATATTCAAATTTTATCGATAATTATTTGTTAAAATCATTTAAATTATCAAGATTAACCTATCTATTCCAAATTCTTTCGTAACTAAAAAAAATTAAGCGATAGATCAAAGTCAATCATAAAGCAAATGATTCACATTTTTTTCCAAATGGGTTGTTGGGATTTCTCAAGTTTTAAGGCTTGAAGAGGTGGGCCTGGCTCTGAAAGTTGAGCAGTTCTCTATTTGAGTCCAGGACTCTTTGAAAGAATCAAAAGAAGTTATGAACTTAGTGGAGTTTTTCCGGTGGACAATATCTCCTTTCCCCTTCCAAACGCTGGAGTATTCCTGGGGACTTTGCTGACCAAACTATTGACCAAGTGGGACTAGGGAGTTGATATTTTTGAAGGGAAATAGCCAAAGAAAAGAGCACCACAGATCAGTCAAAACTCAAAATTCTGGCTAAATGCACAGAAGACAAGAGAAGAAGACTTTTCTCTTTTCATTTCTTGAAGATGTTTTTTCTTGTTTCCTGATAGAGGAGCAGAAGATGATTAAACACTCCAAACTTCCTCTAGGCTTTTGGACCATTTCTTCAGCATTTGTCTACACGGAGATGAGATAATGAATAAAGATCTCGAGGCACCACGTTTATTTGGTAATCTTTTTCTAGAATGGATCATTATTCAGTGGGATTTTCTGCTTTTCTCCATAATCCGTCAATGCAGTTTGTCGGGCTGGGCATTATAACAATATATCAGTTGAAACACAACATTGGCTAAGCTTCATTCTTTTCAATCCATCTTTGATGAAACCATTTATTACCAATATTGAACGAAAACGTCATCAAAATTGTCAACTTTGACAAGTGAATTCTACGGTTCAAGGAATTTAGCAACCACGACCACCACCTTTCTTTGACTTCATAATTCCTTCCCCTCAAGAAGGTTTGTAATTATGAGGCTCAAGGTCGGCCTTGTTGTGCCAAGCATTTTGTACTTTTGTTGGTGTTTTCAGTTTCGCAATGCCCTGGGCCTCTTAGTCGGGGAGGAAATTTGCTTGGTTGCTAATACCATAGTTTTGTTTAAAAGATTAACTGTAATAACAAGTTCTTTATCGTCCATTCATGTAATAGTGCAATAGTACTAGAAAGAAAGAAAGAAACAACAATAAAAAACTTTATACGGCAAAGGATATTCACAACCGATGAACAATTTTCAAAGTCCAAAGACATTAAGAAAAATTAAGGACCTGCTGTTTCAACAGCTATTATGCAGTAATATAATTTAGAATGGAGACAAGCTGCTCTTAGCCAATTTTTGGAGGTCTCTGAACTTTTCCCGAAGGGTCAAGATACAATCGAACCCGTCCTTGGTTGAAATCCATGGTAACAAAAGAATTAGCTTCTACCACCTGAATCTGGACTCTTGGCATGTCTTCCTTAATCTTTTTCTCTGCTTCCTCTGGGGTCAGCCCTACTAACTCGGGCCATTCCATTTTTGGAGCAGTGTTCGATCCAAGCAAACGCCCGTAAGTTCCTGCAAGAGCACCAGTAAATATCAAATATAGCATGCAAATTGTTTCATTCTGAAGAAAATAAATATTTAATCAGGTTCCCTGTCAAAGTATAGGAAACAATCATTTAGATCAAGCTACTCCTCAATGGTCAAAAAACAGGATAATCCCATCGAAGATACAGCAGAATAGATGCCTGATCATTTCAATAATCAAATATCGGAAACTGTTGATATAGGAAGAAGGGAAGCAAATAACTTACTTGGTAAGATTGGTGTTGAATCTGTTAATTCACCAGGTTCTTTTTCAGTGAGCTGGTTCTCAGCCATGGCAAAGCAACACTATTTTGGTGACTTATGAAGGGCAAACTGGTTTATATGTCCTCTTCCTGATTGATTTTATCGAATTTTCTTTGGTTTTGCCACATGGAGAGTGTTCCAGAGTCCAGACAACTCCTTGACATGGTTGGCATAGAATTTGATAATTACTATGCGCCACAAGAATGCCCCTCTCGTGCAGGGCCAGCTTGTTAATGTTGACTTTCTTAGAAAATTCAGGATATAGCCTTGAAAAGCAGGGACAATGGCCCAAAAGCATGAACCTTCAGCCTGTGAATCCATCCACTTAATTATCTTTAATTCATATTATTAGGCTTTTTTTTTCAGAGTTCAACAATCTTAGCTTCCTGCCAAAGGCCCAAATTGGTATTTATTGCCATGCTCTGAGCTCTCTGTTACCAGTCTTGCCCTGGGACTTTTCTCTCTTCTGAACAATGGGCCTCTACGAGCATTTGCTTAATCTACTAGAATAATGATAAAAGTCATGTTTTGCAGGTGTAGACAGAAAAGATATTTGATATTAACGAAATTCCAGAAGTTTTTCAGGGCATATGTCCAAGTTATTAGCGGTCTAAATCAGAGGAATTTGAATCATGACAAATCTTGTGGCCTGACTTGCCAAGCATGAAAAATACAGCTAAATATAAATTCAATTACTTGGTTGAAACCTGAAAGAGAGATCACCAAGGATTAGAAATGTCACAAACAAGTTCTTTCACACGTTATATACTCTTTTTTTTTTTCTTTTAATGTGAATCATTACAGCCAACTTTCAGTAGATTGGACAAAATCCACATTTTTTCAAATTTTCTATGTTTTTTTCTAAGTTCAGTCACAATTTTTCATACAAGTGTATAATAGTGCATTAAAACATAATGAAATTTCAAATACCATGCATTTCTCACAAATTACCCATTTGCATAGGTAAGTCACGGCTGCCTAATTCCTTCAAACTCCCTTCTCAAGGTATTTTAATAATATTTTCTTTAAATTTTGTGTGAACCTAATTTTTTTTTATTTTTTGGAAATTTTCATATATCCATTTTCTTACCCATGTTTTACTAGCAACTTGCAATCATAGCGATTGGGATGAATTTCAGAGACAGTCACTGAATTTTGTAGCAACTTGCTACAAAATTATGTTGATACTGTATTAGTTGTGGTTGAATCTTTGAGTACGATTGAATCAGGTTTCGGGTTTAAAGAAGAGGACACTCCAAAATTCTAAGACCAAGGTTTATGGTAAGCAATTAACAAAAGAAAAAAAAAGTTTCAATGGTTGTCAAATCTTGTGATTTCAAGAAAATGTTGTTGGGTTGGTTTTGTTAGATAGAATTATGAATTTGGTTGTTTGTCCAACGGTTTATATGCAAGAAAGTTTTAACCTTTATTGAATATTTTATTATTTTCAGCGAGAAAGTTTTGTTTTCCCTATTTTTTTTGCTGCATCTGTTGGCATCGTCAAACTTGGGTTTGGTTGGAAATTCTTGGATTCAGTATTATTGATTAGAAATTTGGTATAGGAGAGTGGTCCTGAATCTCTTTGCCTTTTTCTTGTTGTAGCTTCGTTCATATAGATCTGAATTCTGCTGTTGATCTAATAATGGATCTTTGCTGATAACTGAAAGGTGGAAGAATTGCTGTCAATGGGGGCTGTCAATGGTGGTTTTTCTAGTGGTTATGGCGAGGCTGAGTTGATTTTTTTTTATTCGCCCACTTCAGGCTGAGAGCTTGGTCAAATGAAAGGTGAAATGGATTTTTTTGGCTTTGGCAGCTGATATTACAGTCTATGTGGCTGGCATGTCAGTTTTTTGTTAATATTTTAGATAAAATATATTAAAAGTGACTAAATTTTTATATTTAATAAACTTCAATGACATTTTTAATTCAAATTAAACTTGAATGACAAACTTGAAAAATCGGGTATAATTTAGTAACCATTCATGTAATTTACTCCAGCGTTTCTGGATTAACCATTTCTAAAAGCATAACCAATAAGATTAATGGGATTTTATGGCAATAAGATGATGAATTACAGCATTATTGGTATTGAGGAAGGTGTTTAAAATTGAAATTGGGTTCCACATCAGACATTTTGGACCCCTTTACTATGCTCCAAAATTAAGTTGATTGGTGGTCGGGTTCGCATTTCATAATTGCAGAACATTCCAAGCAACCCACTCACCCTACTGGCCTTGCATGGACGGGGAAGAATGTTTTGCGGTTGAAAAAACAACATCTAAAAGATATAAACACACAAATACCAGGTTTTTAAATATCTAAAGGAAATAAAGATTGAACCTCTGCCGAAATTTTCTATTTCAATGTATACAAAGCAATGGATTCAGATTTATTAAAAACCCCGAAAAAAGTTTACAATCATCGACCTCCTGAAAGTAGAGACTCTGCAACAGAAGATGCATCGGAGAATCCCTTGTAAGCAGAAGATATATATGGCATGGCAAAGTCATCAAAGCCTTCTCGATGGGCAAATGTTAGGCCACTGTACGAGAGACAAAGTGATGACATTTCTGGGAAAGGAATATCTCCTCCTAAAAACTGAACAACTTGGCGCATGGTTGGCCTTGCTTCAGGCTCTGAGTGGGAGCAGAGCAATCCAAGTTTTAAGACCAACTCAACTTCCTCTGCTACATAATCTGTACCCAAATTCGGATCCTTTGCCTCATGAATATTACCTTTGTACCAACAAGAGTACACCCAGTCAACCAAGATTACATCTTCTATTGGAGATTGTGCCTGTATTGGTCTTCTTCCGCAGGCAACTTCAAGCAAAAATGCTCCAAAAGCGAACACATCAGTGCGTGGTGTGGCTTTCCCAGTTCGAGTATGCTCTGGAGCCAGATAACCAAGAGTGCCTACAACGTGAGTTGTTTGTGGATCCGTTCCATGATCATATAATCTAGCAAGGCCAAAATCTCCCAATCTTCCATTTAATTCACCATCTAGCAAAACATTACTAGCCTTAACGTCTCTGTGAATCACTACCTGCTCCCATTCTTCATGTAAATAAAACAATCCTGATGCTACACCTTTGATGACTCTGAATCTTTGTCCCCAATTCAGGGTGACCTTTGGCTGGTCATGCAAATACTTATCGAGACTTCCATTAGGCATGTAGTCATAGACCAAAAGAAGCTCACCTTTACGCCGGCAATATCCCAAGAGTTGAACTAAATTCCGGTGACGGAGACGACCAATGCTCACAATTTCTGCAACAAATTCCTTCATCCCTTGCCTTGATTCATGTGAGACTTTTTTCACTGCAACCTCGAGTTTACTGGTTGGTAGAACTCCTCTATACACCTTACCAAATCCACCAGCACCTAATAGCTCCTTGTCTTTGAATCCTTTTGTAGCAATATATAGATCTTTATACTTGAATCTATGAGTCCCATACTGACGCTCCCAATCTTCGACAACTTCAGCAAACTTTCTCTTCCTTCTAATGTAATAAACCAAACCTGAAACTGCTGCCAAAACCAAACTCGATAAAATCAAAGGCAGTCCAATTGTCAAAAATTTTGATATTTTCTTTGGCCCTAACCGAGGAAGCTTGGGAAGTTGAGACAGGGTAAGCTCTTGCGCCTGACCATTAATCTTAAAGCTCCAACCTAAAACATAATGAGATGGGTGAATAGAACCGGTTGACGATGAAAACCCAACATACATCTCGTTGTTAATAATTGAAGAAAGATCACGAGACAAAGATAAAAGTGGAGTATTGGGTTTAGGAACATTAAATGGAGCTAAAGTAACATCCATTCTCTTCTCTAGACCATGATATTCAACCCAAACTTGCATCCGTTGCCCACTGATCAGAGTCAGGTTTTTGAACTGATGGGTGACATCCTCATAATATCCAGCCGGAAAAGATTTATCAGACACTAATCCATTAATATCAATCCCAACGTGATTGTCATTGATGTCAAAAAACTCGTTATTTTGTATCGTATCGAGTTCCACAACAACAACGTGGTTTGTATCATTGCCATTGTTGGTCCCATTGAAGAGTCCAAGATACTGGCTTGGAAGAGCTCCAGGGAGCCCCCTGGTGGGTGCAATCACGAAAGCGATTCCATGGCCGCCGAGATTTGTATATTCAGAAACAATAGCGAAGACAAATGTCGTAGAGAAGGAAGAAACTGAACCGTTTGTTGAGTTCTTGAAGCTTATAAGGTGAGGGTAGAAAGCATGGCCTTTTTGTCGACTGGTTTCATTGGTGAGCTTTAGGAGTCCATTGGAAGTGAATTCTGCGATGCCATCAAGGCTTACATTAGCGGACCGAAATGCGTTGTATATGAAACCAACATCATCGGCAGCGGCTAAGTTTATCAGAAGAGTTAGCTGAAATGCTAATCTGAAACACATGGCCAAAGTCTGCTTGCCCTGTTCTCCTTCTCGGTCTTTGTTTTTCTTTGCCTTTTTTTTTTCTCGATCATCTAATAGTGCTTGAGATCAGTATGAAAGTTCATAGAATCTCTCACTCATCAGCCGTTCAAGTACTTGGCCCGTTACTATAGTAGTAAGAAAGTTTTAAATTTACCCGCCACCACTGCAAAGCAAGCTTGGTCATATGTTTATCCCAAAAAAAATGGAAAAAGAAAAAGCTTGATCCTTAAGTCTTTACCTCTAACATTAAAAAAAGAAAATAAAGGTCTTTACCTCTGAAGTTGCTGTCGCACGGTAAGGAGTGGGGACAAGAGACTAGTAAATTCGACGCCGGTTTCCCCACGCAATTCTCAATGATCATTGAGACTAGGGTGTTTGTTCGTCATTTGATTTTATATATTTAATATTTAAATTTTATCTAATTTAATATTAAAATATTATTTTTTGTTTGAATTCGATTCGATTTTCATATATACAAAACAATAATTAACATGATTAGAGTCAAAATTAATAAAATATTTTTAATATAAAATATTATTTTTTAAATATAAATATAAAATTAAATAATTAATTAAATAATATTTCATATATCAAGTTAGGTCAAGATAAATTTATCTAAAATTTAACTCTAACGTTTAGAAAAAAAAATCAACTTGATCATACCCGATTTTTTTTAAAAAATTTAATTTTATATTTTACTTTTTTCTTTTTTTTTTTTTGCATTTTAAAAATATATGAAGAAAAAATAGGGATAATTATTCTTTAATTTAATCAAACTGAGAATAAGAGAAGAGTTAGTAAAAAGTTTAGGTGATAAATATATATTGACAATTAAAATTGTCCCTGTAACTTTTGAAATATTTATTTGAAAATAAATATAATAAATAATTTTATATTTGAAATGTAATGAATTAATTAAAATAATAATAAAATAATATAAATATTTTCATATCAATAATATTTAAAATGTGAATAACATACTAATTGATGTAATTAAAAATATATATTTATAATACTTAAAAGCATAATATTTGCTACCAAAAACCATGATTATTAATTTAAAAATATTGTTGTATTTTTAAATTACATCAATTATTATATTTCAAATGCTCTAACTATCGTTGAGATGAAAATATTTATATTTTTTTTATTTTTGTGGTTTAGAGATTACTTTTTTTTCATTGTCAAGTACGTTTTGAAAGAAAAAAAATATCTTTGATAGATTATCAACAATATTTTTAAATTAATAATCATGGTTTTTGGTAGCAAATATTATGCTTTTAAGTATTATAAATATATATTTTTAATTACATCAATTAGTATGTTATTCACATTTTAAATATTATTGATATGAAAATATTTATATTATTTTATTATTATTTTCAAAACGTACTTGACAATGAAAAAAAAAGCAATCTCTAAACCACAAAAAATAAAAAAATATAAATATTTTCATCTCAACGATAGTTAGAGCATTTGAAATATAATAATTGATGTAATTTAAAAATATATATTTATGATACTTAAAAATATAATTTTTATTAATAAAAATCATGTTTATTAATTTAAAATTTTGATTAATAAATTATTAAAAACGATTTTTTTTAATTTTAAAATATAATTAATAATAAAAAAAATTAAATTTAAAAATAATTTAGACTATATTTTTACATAAAATATATGATATTTGAACCATAAAAATTACATAATCTTTGACAAAAAAAGATCAAATTTCTTTTCCTTGCATCTATCTCTCACCTACTCCACCATCCAATTTTTTTATTTTATTCCTTTATTTTCTTTTCATATTAATCTCTCTAACTAACCTATATAATTATTCTTACTCATTTGACCATTTTTATGAACCTGTCACATCTCAATTTGAAAATCAGTCATTTTTGTTTTTACTTTTCAACTTTCTTCCCTTTTCTCTTTCTTTCCTTTCACTGTCACATCAATGCAAAATTAAACATCATTTATTTATTCTGACACTTACCTTCCATTCCATTTTCCCTTTCTTTTATTTTCTTCTTTTATTTTTCTTTTTTAATTAATATAAACACAAAAAGTATTACTTAATTTACACGTTCATTGAAGAAGGATAATTAGAGAAAGTCAAAATTACCGCGTAATCAATTGGAATTAAACGAAAAGCTGATGTAGAAATTGATGTTCATGATATTTAAAAATAGAGATGATAATTAGCGTCATTATATCATATAAAATAATATATTTTATATAAAAATTATATGTCATCATTTATATTAATATAAAAATATAAAATATAATTTTTAAAATTTTATTAAATTTATTTATAATTTTTTTAAAATTTTAAATTATATTATTTTTATATATTTTATTCATATAATGTAATTATTCCTATATTAAATTATTAAATTTACTTAAAAATATGAAAATAAAAAAACTAAACCGACGTTATGCTAAAGTCAGTGTTCACATTTCTTTTTTTTTTCCCCTTTTGATTCCTTTTATATATATTTTACCTTTTTTTTTTTTTTTTGACCTAATTTCTTTCATTTGGTATCTTTGGTAAAGATATTAATAAGTTAAAGTAAAGATGATAAAATAATTCGGTTTTGTGTGGTTTAATTCATCCCGACCTAATTGTTCTTTTATTTTATCCAAGCGTGTAAAGTTTTTTTTTAAATGATTCGGATGGATCATAAACGAATTTTGGATGTCCTATTTTTTAAAGGTATACATGAAAATATGGTTTTGATTTTTTAAAATTTATTTACATATGACATATTTTTATTAATTTATTATTTATTTTTGAAATTTTATAAATACTTGTCACATTTTTATTTGACTTTTTTGTCATTTTTCTAAATCAGGACACATTTTGAAAACAAATATTACAATATAAATAGAAATTACAAAACAATTTATATTTAATAGGTTTCATTTACCTTAATTAAATAAGTGTGATTTAAAAAAAAAATCAGGATCGAATTTTTTTTTAATTGAGGTTAAGCTTAGATAAGGTTTTAGATCTTTTGATATATTTTTAATATATACATATATATATATTTTATTATTAAATTTGTTTTATATTTATATATCAAAATTATATTAATTAAGTTGTTCCTTTATACTAGTTGACTATCCGCGCTTCATTGGAATGTTTAAATGAGAGAAATATTTTTTAATTAGATTTAATAACAATGAAGTGATGAATGGTAATAGAAATATGAGAAAAGAAATAATAAGTTTTATTAGATAAAATATGTAACGAGAAACAATGCATAAAATAGTTCAACACTGCATTAGATAAAAAGTTAAGAAGAGAGAAAGAGTTTATATCAATAGATGGAAACAAAAATTCAAAATAAGGCATTTTAAATAGATATAGTTGAAAGAGGAAAAAGTAAATCAATCATCAGCGAGATAGTAGCAAAAGAACATTAATAATAAAGAACTACAAAATGATGCTATTTGATATTAACAAACAGACTTGGAAGGAATACATGAAGTAGCAATCTTGGAAATAGACAAATTTTCTACAAACTTTATAAAAAGCTAATAAAAACGGTGTAGTTTTTCACATTATTCCACAAAAAGTTACCTAACATAGTTGGACTCTCTACACCATTTTGTTAAAAATATTGCATTTAAGTTAAAGCATGGAATTCAAAATAATATTATACTTAGCAAATTAATGTGCCGCAATTTTTTATTTAGTTAAAGGATTACCCCAAATAACAATTAATTTTTTTCAAATTTAGATTGATGGAATAACTAAAGGTATGCAAACTAATATCGTGTAGGAAAATTTCTTATAATAATTTGCAAAAGCTAAGCAAAATAACTAAAACTATCATGATAATCAGCATAAAATGCTAAGCAAACCAAATTTATTATATTTTAAGAATCCAAAGCTAAGCACATTGACCACTCAGGTAGGCAGCTACTAAGAGGAACAAATAGCCTAAAGTACAAATATCATTGTCAAAGTTACAACTATAGAGAAAGCCTATATACACTCGTAGAATTAAAACTGCAGCAGTGTTCGGACATACATAATTTGATCATCAAGAATATGAGTAGAGTAAGCAGTTGAACTGGAAAAAAAATCGTTAGGTCAGCATGCTTTTCGAAATCATTTGCTTGAATCAAGAAATAACATTTATGATAGATTTTTTAAAGGAGATTGATATCATCAATTGATGTCTATGAATGAAAATGATTTTGAAATATGCATGTTTGAGATGATTCAACAAGAGATACTTCATGCCATTATCTATTGTGATTGTGTGTGAAGCTCTGCGAAATGTATATTCAATCTTAACTATACTACTCTAACTTTACCTTAAACTATCATGCTATTTTGGACATTTAGTTTTTATGTTCTTTCAATTTCCTATGATCTTAACTTTGGACTGCACTGCTTTCTTTATTTTGTTACAAGCTATGTGTAGACATGATTATCTTTTCTTTTTTCTTTTTTTTTTTTATTACCAATTATATATTTAATTTTTTTGCCTGTGCTGTTACTTCTGCTTTTAATGTCTAAACAAAAAAAATGCACCTGCAACATAGCGCGGACACATCGCTAGTTATTATTAACTAATAACAATAACACTCGGAAAACATGAGGCAAAAGCAAAGAAATAAGTTGTTAATTAGCTGTTTGAGAGTGTAGAATCCATATCTCAAAGGAAGCATTTAACTGAGAAACCCAGTAATTTTTTTGAGTATCAAGAATAGTTGTTTAAGTTGATTTTCCGAGTTTTGAAAAATGAAAAGCCAACCTATCTAAATCAAAGTAATTAATGAATAAGAAATTATGTCATGTGAGATGATGAAAGATTACGAAAGCATTGATTTTTTTTTTTTTTTTAAGATGCATCAAATTATTTATTAAGATTTCATTTGATAACTCTTCAATTTTCATTTTTGCATTTCTCAAACAGAAAAAGTATATAACAGCATCAGTTGCATCTTTTTCTCAATGAATCAATGGATAAATATGGGGCATATATTTAGCATTATCTTTGATTTAGAGAGTTCTTACATTTTTTCTCTTCCAATCAACTC